TCTCAAACAGCTAATAGTTTTAACTTTCCTGAAAGGAGTTGGCTTAGCCTTAGAGACTGACATCCCCTTTTTTATCTAACAAAATCAGGGCCAGAAGGTCTTAACTCTGCATATATTCTACTTACAGCACTAACTTGGACTATATCAAGAAGAGTGGCATTGAATTTGTTTTTCCTTTATTATCTTCAGTCTTCAGTAGTGATAAATGTCCTGCATGCTTCTCTAACAAAAGACCAGCTTCCCAATATCCTTTAAAACAACAATTTCCTTCTTTCCCTAAACTCAGGCAGTAGATGCTTGAAGTAGCATAACTTTTCATTTTCCATAGTCCAAATTTACTGCCACCTTTATTTTGCTCTTTCTGTGTCATCCATGCTGTCGCTGTCAGGAGGGCAATCAGCAGGGAAAACACAGTGAGGAAAACAGGGACCTGAGCTGGGTGCTGCCTTGTACAGGCTGAGACAGAACTGGACCGAGAAAGCAGAAGGCTAACCCCAAAGATGGCTGAAACGGGGAATAAAAGGAGACGGCTGTGCTGGTAACAGTGCACTTATTTAAAGCTGTGCAGAGAGCAGCCGATGACATCAGCTGGCATGTCCAAGGGCCAGGGGCTGCCTGGCTGCCCCGGGCTCCCCAGCCCTGCAGGAGCCCTGGGCAGGGCTGATGAGGAGCTCAGAGGCGTCAGCGCCCCGAGCCCTGCGCGTTCCATCGGCCACAGCACCTCGCTCCACTGCGTGTGCACATTAACCAGATGCTCCTCTGACAGCAGCAGTGCCGTGCCTGTGACAGCTGAATTGCTCTGAGAGGCACAGACAAATGGAAGAGTTGTGAACATTTAAACTATTCTTTCAGGCCTTTTCAGACTCGAAAACAAAGTGTAGTATCAAAGTCAGAAAGTATCTTCACAGCTATTAATTCCTCTGTGTGTTTTGTGGGTATGTTTGTGCATTGTTCGCTTTATTCTTCTGATGAATAAAGCGAGAACTGCACTGAATTCAGAGAATCTTATTTAGGTGCTTATCAGCCACGATGAAGCAGGCTTTGGACTGGAACAAAAGGATCAGTCACACAGTTCTTGTCACCAGTTCTGATGGTCACGCCTTATGGGATGGGAATTGTTAAATATGAAAACTGGATTGGAATTTTCCCTTTCCCTCATCTAAGTCATTAAGCAGCACTTGGATGCTGATGACTTGTATTGACCATAAATCCCAGTGGGCTGATGCTGGTGACCTACATGTTAAAGGGTCCAACTCATTGCTATCCACTTGGAGGTTTTCTTCAGAGCCTAATTTTTCTGGAATGTTATTTCCAGAGAGGTGATTAAAATAACTTACTTTCATCCATCACCAGCACATCTTTTTATAAATAGAACAGTGGTAATTTCTTTCCCTATACATTAAATACAAACACTTTGAGAATAAATCCATGAAGTTTTTATATCATGCTTGGTTAAGAGAGATAGGTAAGAAGCTGGAACTTTAATTTCTTCTGATGCACCATTTGTTTAGAAAATAGCATTAGTTCTCTTGTAGCAGTTAAGGACTACTTGACTGTTTACAGAGAAACTGTATAACAATGCTGTATGAAAGTTTGAGTCTATTTTTCAAAGGCTGTAATATTTCATGAATGGAACTTCCCTTTCTAAATGAGAAATCTGCACATTAATTGTTATTAAAGGCGATTTCTGGAAACTTCAGGAATTATATAATTTCCCATATTCCAGACTGAACAGAAATACAGTGTAGTTCATAGACAATGAAAAGTGACCAAAAAAGCCTGTGAAAAAAAGCCTGTAAAAAGCCTGATAGAGTTTACCTAAGTGAGGCTGCAAACCTTGCAAAGCATAAAACAGTAAACTGTACAGTAGTGAAAAAACACACATTAATAGTAAAAGTTTCCAGTATACTGGATTAAAAGGTAGAGAGATTAGTCTCAATGCACAGAATCAGATATCAGATTATCAGCTTTTAAAACTGATACTATGAAAAAGCTGTGGTTCAGTGGGTGAGGTCAAGTTGCTTGCAAAATGAGATTTAAATCCATTGGTAAAAAAGGCCATTTTAAGAATTTTTGAAATCATCAATCAAAATGAAATAATTATCTAAAGTGATCTTTTATTAGCATTTCTTGACTTTGCATGTAAGTATAGAGGAAGAATGTCTTCAATGTCTCATTTTATTTGTCTTACTTTAAACTAAGACATGTCACCTTCTTTGTCTTGTTCTTTTTACAGAGCATAGTCTCTTAACTAACTCCTAACTTTACAACTAGTAATTACATAAGTCATAAAAGTTTATTCAGGAAATCTTTTTCTATACATTACTGGTTTAAAATAATCCTGTTTTTATCTTAATTCAATAAAGATTTGTATCTGATCAGATGGAATTTATTTTGAATTGTCACAGCTCATCTGTCACCGAATGTGGCTAAAAGTAAGCAATTCAAGCTTAGATAATTTTTTTAGCATCTTTGAAATGTGCTGGAATAAATTCTGATAGGTTAATGCTGAAAAGTCTTTCATACTAGCTACTTGCATCTTTCGTGTCTATATTTTGAGGTAATATTTATAAAATTACCAATTTTAAATAATGCTATTAAGAAAAAAATTATTAAAGTTTAAGTAGGTCATTTTGATAGAACTTGGAGTCACAGTGGTTTTTTGATATTGTAGAAGATATTGTGGCACCTAGAAAGTTTGCAATGAGATTCACTGCATTGATTTCAAAATCTGTATTGAATGAAATATGTCTTGATGAATTTTTATAAAAGTAAAACCTAACTAAGTGTGTTTTATCTTTAAAGCTGCCTACCTCTGCAGCATCATGAAGTTATCATGCCAACCCTGCTGTTATGGGGAGAAAGAGATGCATTTATGGAAGTTGAGATGGCAGAAATTACAAGGATTTATGTTAAAAATCACTTCAGATTAACTATTTTGTCAGAAGCCAGTCATTGGCTCCAGCAGGATCAACCTGACATAGTGAACAAGTTGATATGGACCTTTCTTAAGGAAGAGACAAAAAGAAAAAGAGAATAACTGTTTGTACATGTTTTAAGGGGTCTAAATAAAAGCTCTTCAGATTTAAAACCTAATTGTTATCAGGGCCATATTTCCAGCCTGCCTTCTATTTTGAGCTCTGTTAGAGAAGTGTTTTCATTGTACTGTACATTTGGACACTAATCGTACAGCTAAAAGAAGTGAGTATGAGAATATATGATACCAACATTGGTTTTACCTGTATACTTGTATTTTGCACATAAAAACACCTGCCTTAAAATACATATGTATTTGTACAGAAAGAAAATCATGGAAAGTTGCTTGGTTTTGTTTTTTCCCTTGCTATACAGTTGTAATGTGTGGTGCCTTTTACAAATTTATAATGAAACAATAGAGTGGTGCCATACTGAAGAAAGTCACAAGTTTTCATTCTAGATTTGCCTGAATTTTTTTAATGTATTTTACCATTCAACAGTAACTCTTTTTATCTATATTTTAGCATACTGAACGATTGAAAATTTTCTGGGTACGTTTCTAGTCTTCAAGTGAATAATGATCCGTATCTTGTTGTATTGTTGAATGCAGCTGCTTTGCGCAATGTGTTTTTCTTTCTTGACTAAAAAATGGGAAACCTGTACACTCCACATGTCTGAACAAGAACAATGGAAAATTAAGATATAACATGTATCAAATTCACCTCTGTCTAATAAAATGCAACTTATAAGACTCCCATTACTTTATCTGACTTCTTGTGGAGAGATTTGCTGAAGCTAAGAACTGTGTTTGAATAGCTGAAGTGTCTGATCTAGTATTCAGCCTGGACAGTCATGCTACGATTGTTGTCAATTCTTGAAAAGAATGCCTCATTGTTGGCATTATCCTTCCTATGTCAGCAACTACTGTTCTTGTCTCCAAAAACTGCTGCCCGGTTCCTGTGTTTATAGGAGGAAGAGACACTGTGATTATGGACACAAAGGGTAGAATTAACTTGCATGTGATGGCAGGGGAGAAGAAAACTGTATGCTAACTAAAAAAGGGAAACAAAATAAAAATAGGAGACCACAGAGTAGGTGTCACCTTCCTATCAGGTTTCCAAAGCCTCGCTCTGCACCTGCAGAGCAAGCGCAGTGCCCTGGAATCAAAGGTGCACAAGAGCCCACTGAGGGAAGCATCAGGGCCAGGTGAGCCTGAACCAACTGTCCCACCAGAGTAGGAGAGATGCTGGGGAGTCCCAGCACATCCCCACACTGCCAAGTGCGGCACCTCTTCGGAGCCAGAGTCCCACCGGCATGGGAGCAGGCCGTGCCCAGCGTGGCCCTCGGCAGGAAGCACCAAGCGGCGCTGCCCGCCCAGCTCATGGCTGGAGACTGCTCTCGTCCTCTTCGCAAACCTGAGAGTTTCCTCAGGATCACGCCTGTGGTGTTGAACTTCCTTCTTTCCATCCACCACTGGTACCTGCCTTTCAAGCATTTTTTCCTGAATACTTTCAGCACTTATCAACTAAAATGGTTATGTGCTTCTCTTACTTACACTGTGAAACTGGAAAGGCTCTCCCTTGCTCCAGGAGGTGGCACAGAGAGATTTCTATCGCCTGCGCAGCGGTTTTGCTTTGGCAGGACAGACAGTGCTGGGTAGTACGGATTTTCCTGCAGAGCACCGGCTGTCCGGCAGCCGCAGCCCGCCGCGCTTCCATCGCCGCGCCGGGCGCACACGGCGGGGCGGCCGCGGAGCGCCGGGCCCCTCATGCGAGGGAGCGGCCCTCGGCCGCGGGGCGCGGCGGCGGCCGCTAGAGGGCGCACTCCCGGCGGCACCCGCGCTGAGGCCCCGCCCCATCAGGGAAGCTGAGGGAGGGTGGGGTCTCCCGATGGGGGCGGGGCCAGGCGGGAGCCGCCGGCTCTCATTGGCGGAAGCCGCTGCTGGCCCCGCCCCGCGAGCGGCGCGGGTCCCGCTCCGGGGCCGGTTACTGCCCGCGCGCCGAGCGCCGGCCCGGTGCTGTCCGTGAGGGCGGCCCCGCCGCCAGGCACCGGCCGCCAGTCCCGCCCCGCTGTCTGTCGCCGTGCCGGGCGCGGGGCGGAGTGGCGGCCGGCACATGGCGCGCTGCGGCGGCGGCGGCGGAGCGCCGAAGGGCCCCGGCCCGGCGGCGGCGGAGCGGCGGCGGCTGAAGGAGGCGCTGGCCGAGCAGCTCCGGCAGGATCTCGACAGGTGGGCGCGGGGCGGCGGCCGAGGCGGGGCGGCGCCGGGCGGGCGGGGACACGCGGTAACGGTGCCGTCCCGCAGGCTGCTGGCGGAGGGGACCCACTCCGACGTGACCTTCCAAGTCGGCGACGAGGAGGTGCGGGTGCACCGGGCGGTGCTGCTGGCGCGGGCGCCGCTTCTCTGCGAACGTCTGGCGGGGGGGCAGCTACAGCTGGAACCCGCGGAGTTACGGGAATTCCTGCGGTGAGTGCGCGGCCGCGGCGCATTGATGGGCTGGCCTCGGCGTCAGCTCTCTTGTGTCCTGCCTCTTCTTCTTTTCCCAGTGCCAGCACCTGTTTTAAAGCTTTTCCCATTCAAGGCAGTACCCTCCCAGCCTTCCTGCAGAGTTTGCAGAGGACTTTTCTGTGACTTCTTTCTTTCCCTCTACCTTTTGCCCTTCTGCTGAAGGGCACGTGGCTGTACTCTCCACTTTAGCGTGTTTTTTTATGGTATGTAAAGGACTTGTAATAGAAAAAAGCAGCAAAAATCCTTTGAGATTGTCTGTGCCTACAAAAACCCTTTTTAGCAAGATTCCCTAATGAAAACAGCAAATAAAAATCCACTCTCAGCTCATATTTGAAAAAGTTATGAATATAGGAATCTAAGAGGACTTCAGCAAGTTGGATGAAAATACATTAAGTTCAAACCACATCTCTCAAGTCCTAGTGAAGCATGGGCTAGGCCCAACACAGCGCAGCTTTGGTGCAAACTGGGATGCCAGAGGGAGGTGTGTGGGCTGGCTGCTCCCAGGGACTAATGCAAGGGCCAGCATGTTTTTGCACTGCCGGCTATTTTCCCGTTGCCACATATGCAACATCTCTCATGTCTTGCTCCAAACCTTAGGTGAGTTATACGAGGGGTGTTGGCCAGTGCAACCAGACTTTGCAATCCTCCACCTTTTAAGTTCCTCTAATCCTTTTTTCAAAGAACTGCTTTTCTGTTACAAAGCTCTGATGTTGCCACCTAAAAAAGAGTTGGTGTTAGAGCCAATCGGCACTTCCAGGATTGCACCGGGAGCAAAGTGGTAGAAAGAAATCATTCTGGGACTTTGCATGAATTCAGGATGTGCCTAGAAAATGTTGGTACTTGCAGGCTCCTGAGATTGTTGCCAACAGCAACAGGATAGAGTTGCAGTTTTAAACTTTAGTGCTTTAAACACAACCCAATTATGAAAGAAAACTTTGAGAGCCCAGAGTAATATCTGAAACATAGAATCCTTATAGTGGAGCAGGTTGATTACCAGGCATTTGTTGGGTTACTGCCACAGCCTGGCAGGAGCATTAGCAAAACAAGTGGCAAGAAACAAAACAGCATTGGCTTTGTCTTGTATTTTTCCTGATTTCATTGTTACTGTGATATCATTTCTTTCACATTCATCTAAGTGGTGTTACAGAAGAATTTCATGGAGAAGTATGATAATGAAATTTTCTTTTAATCAAATTAATTTTTAAACTATTATTCTGAATAATTATTTTTATACTGTTATATCAGGGGTTTGTATTCCTAATGGTAAGCACTAAATATGTTACTGATACTTGCTTTCAGTTTTGTCTGGGTTTGCTGTAAGGCAAGAAATGATGTCTGAAGTTCTGCATGTTCTCCAAAATGCATGGTGTTGGAAGACACCTTTAACCTCAGCTCAACTAATTGTAAACCTTGTGTCTTTTCACAGTTTAGAGTTTAGAATCTTCAGATGAACCTCCCCATATGTTCTAAGCTGTGTATGAAACGTGCTTTACAAGATAATTGCTTTCTCTTAACTTAGTTTTCGGTGCTGTTTGATACTTCACCGTTTGAGTCCTCTAACCCAGCACATTCTGTGGGGATTCATGCTTACAGAGTGCACTGAAGTTTGAACTCATTTGGACCAAAGAAAGGACTGCTTGAAAAAGCCTAATCCATTGTTCAGATGATCAAGTAGTATCAGTGGCTGTTGAATCTCAGTGGTTTCTTATTGTTAAGACACAAATTAATTTGATCTTTGTAAGTGCACAACAGTGCCTTAAATTAGAGCTTTAGTTTTACTGGAAGCCAGCCTAGTTTTTGGAGCATATAAACTGCCATGATGAGTTGTAGCAGAGACCTGTAGCTGCAGCTGAGCTCCTGAGAGCTTTTGTCTTCTACAGAAGTTCTGGTTTCTTGTATATATGGAGAAGTAGAATACTAGTAATAGTATTACAGAGTTCATCAAAGCTATAACAAAATCTCATTCCTTTTCCTGTTTGTATTCAACTTTGCTTTTATTTTCCCAAGTAAAACTTATCTTTCCATGGGGATTTGGGGATTATTTTCTCACGAGCTATATCTGGCCTCCCTCTCAGTGAGGCACACTTCCTGTGGGCCTCTGTTTCTTCATCAGGAGAGATGAAATGGGCTATGTGTCACTTGTGTGCTGAAGGCTGTGGTAGCTCCTCTTCCCTCTTCTTCTGAGCAGGAGATAGGACACGGTAAACTTCATACTGATCTTTCTGCATAGCCTCAGCACGAAGTAGATGAGCAACTAAGCAGTGCTCTGTTTCCCTCTGTACACTTGCACTTATCTGAGCACACCAGGAAGAAACTTCTGGTCCCCAGACGTGCAGCATCCATATTGTAGACACTCTGTATGCTATGTTTGTCGCTGAAGTTAATATTGACTCTGCCCTCCAATAGCCTTCTGTCATTCTTCAGGAAACAGCTAGAAAAATGTCAACAGTTGCAAGTACATTGATAGCTGGAGATGCCTGCCTAGGCAGGGTTCTGCAGTGTGCCTCAAGAAGAGAAACTTAGCCATCCCTGAAGGATGGCTGGCTGTCACAAATCACTAGATCATTACTGTCTTGCCTGTTGAGAGGCAAACTACTTTTTATTTTCTCTTGCAGTTGGACAAAATAGTGCTTTAGCAATAAAAATCTTGATACTGTCTCAATATTTCTATTATTATTCTATTAATTATATTCTATTAATATTCTGTTATTATTCTATTAGAGGATCTGATGCAAGGAAGGACAGAGAAGGTCCTGATGACAGTGAGATCCAGTTAAAAAGCAATAAATACAATCAAATACAAAGGAATACAATTGTCATTGTGACAGTTACTGCCACAGGGTTAGTTTGCAATACCAGTAGTTGATTTAAAGACCAGCCAAGCCTTCGACCGTGTTGCGCTTGTAGAATTCTGTACCAGGCAGGACAAGGATGTTACATCTCGCTTAAGTGCAGGCAGAAACCTTTTAGAAGGTAAACTCTAGACAGCACGATGGCAATAACTTCTTTCTGTAGAGTCTATGCACACCTTTCCTTTGTATAAAAAATCTTCAGCTATGGTAACTGCTATGAATACAGACACCCTACAGCATTGTTCCCATTTCATATGCCACTAGCACACCTCTTGCAAACTCAGTGTTGCTCATGTCTATCAGATTCTTTTCTGTGTACAGAGAAAAAAACCCAAGCCATAAGGTGGTGTACCTGTTAAAACTACACAGCATCATACTAACACTACAGAACTATTAGCACTATTTCCAGCGTGCTATTCTCCTTCATGTGAGGTTTTCATAAAGGAGCTACACCAAATAGAATGGCTGTGAATATTTTTTTCTTTAAATACAATTTCCAGTTAGAGTTTCACTGGATTAGCAAATCTAAAGGGAAATGGAAGAATCTTAAGTGGCTAGGGTAGATTGAAGTTGTGTGTATGAAATGCTTGACTTAGACAACGAAGATGCCCTGCCCTAGCTTTGCAAGTCTACCAAGATTTAAATGCACTACACGAGACTGTTTGCTGCAGTTGGGTTTGCTAGACGTGGGCGCAGTAAAATTCTGGGTATGTTGTGGTTCAGAGGCTTCCTATGTTGGTTTTATTTTTATTAATAAAGTAAATAGATATGGGTTTCATTTTGGCATTTAATTGTGGTAGCTGTTTAAGTAAAACTGTACAATATGGTATTTCACACATGTGCAGAAGATACTTGTTGTTACTCTGGTTATTATGACATCCTTGTCTCTCAGCTTGAGAGGCTTGGGTTTGGCAGAGGGACCATTCAGTGGATAAGGGATTGGCTGGATGGTCACATTTAAAGAGTTGTGGCTGCTTAACAAGATGCTCAGCATGAGCCAGCAATGTGCACTCACAGCCCAGAAAGCCAACCCTAGCCTGGGCTGCATCTGAAGCAGCGTGGCCAGCAGGTGGTTGGAGGTGACTCTGCCCCCTCTGCATCACTGTCCTGAGACTCCACCTGGAGTGCTTATCCAGCCCTGGGGCCCCCAGCATAAGAAACACCTGTTGGAATGAGTCAAGAGAAGGGCAACAAAGCTGGTCAGAGGGCTGGAGCCCCTCTCCCATGAAGATAAGTTGAGAGAATTGGAGTTCATCAGCCTGGAAAAGAGAAGGCTCTGAGGATCATCTTGTGATGATACACCTCTATCTGACTTAAAGGAGGGATCTATAACTTTACAGAATTGTTGTCTTCTGCTCTTTACATAACCAAACTAGGATGGCACATTGAATGATGCCTGCTCAAGTGGTTTGGAAAGTTTTTAAAAACTATTCCTAATACAATTCTGCAGTAAGGGTCCTGGATTCTTAAAGCAACTGCTTTGAATAGATGATTTTACATTATCACTAAACCATCTGAGCTCCATGCCAGATTTCCCTAACTTTTATTATGCAGAAAGATACAATTCAATACTCTGGAGGAGACAGTCTAGAAAACTTCACTCTGCTTTAGAAATGAGCCTGTTAAATACAGGACACTGCCAAGCAAAGTTTTTTATAGCAGGTTATAGAAACTGCAGAGTCTTACATTCTGGAAACATCTAATGGGATTTACTGAGATAAAAGGAAATTTCTAAAAGATATGCCAAAATCATTTTGCTGTCTGTGAAGCAAAATGATAGATGTGTCCCATGAGTCTTTACAGTCTGTATTCAGCAGAACTTAAGATAACCTGCTGATTTTCTGGAAGTAATAAAATGCAGGAATGTGACTGGATTTTAAAGGTTAATTGAAAGAGTCAATTTTTCTTGACTTTTTGCAGAAAAAAACTTAAAATTAACTTTTTCAGATCCAGAAACCAGTTACTTAGTTCTGGTTTAAAATGCCACTTCATTTGTTTTATTTACTGAGTTCCTAGTTGTATTAAGGATGCCATTTTTATTGACTGAAGCCTTGTGATAACAAAATTAATTGCATTCCTGAGGTTTCTTGTGTAGATTCTCTGAAATTACCCTGAGCATTCCCAGGAGATTGTTGCTTCATTGCCTAGCTTATGAGATTCCCTATGGATGTTTTTCAGTTACTGCAGAAAGTAAGAATATTAAAATAATTAATTTATGCTAAAACACTCTATCTCTTGCTGCTTGTTTTCTTTCTCCCTCAAAGTCAATTTGTACTGTCTACATGTTAAATATGCAAAAGCTTTGTAGCAACAGAAAGGGGAATAAGAAAAGTTCCAGTGCAAATTTAGCCTAACGTGTTCAATGGCATTTTTTTTTTTTCCAACAAACTCCTCCTGCAGTTTTTATATTCAGTATGTGACCAGTGGACTTGAGTAATTGTGGTATTAGCTTACATCTGGTGAAGATGGAGGGATAAAGTGTGAATTATTGAATTTTTTTTTTCCTAGTACTGGCATTGTCTGTGTGACTTTAAGTGACAGTTCTTAGAAGGTCTAGTGTGGACAAAAAACTTGAAGACAAAACTTCAGAATACTTCTGTAAATTTTTCAATTTCTGGAAATTTTGAATTCTCTAGCTTTAACTGGGTTTCTACTCTGAATTTCTATTTGTGATTCCTATTGCTTTAGAGCTGTAAAACACCGATGTTACCTACTGTGCAGCACAGTGAATGGGGAAGAATGTGTGGAACTTGTGGTCTTGAATTTTCTAAAGAATTGCAAAGTCTCCCTGCTCCATCAAACAACTTTTGCTCCTATTCTTGGTAGTATGGCATGGTTTGACTTGTCTTTCCCTCGTGCTATTATTATGGTAGGTTGGAAAGCACTTTAAATATCAAAAGCAATAGATGGTCAGCTCATAGGTTAGGAGTTCTGAAAGCACACACATACACAACAACCTTGTGAAAAGGATCCACTTAACTTACTCTTTCCATGTGAAATCTTATTGTTCCTGTTGCATCCTTTCCTGGTGCTTGCTTTCAAAATTTAACAAAAATATTAACCTTCTTATTCTATATATTCTTGTTTCTTCTTCTTCTCTCCTGATGGGGACCTGTATCACATAGCCAAAAATAAATTCTACCTATCTCAATCCTTTAAATAAAGGACTCAAGAAGGAAGATGGTTTCTTCTTATGTTTTCTCTGCCCCATCAGAGTACAGCGTTCAAATAACACACTCAAATTACTGTTGTCTGAGTATTAACAAAAAGCCTCTCTGCCGTGGAGTGAGAAATACTCAGATCTCTGAGTATTTCTGCTACATCCAAAGGAACTGTAGCTCTTCTGTTAAACTTTGTTAACTTCATCTAGATGGTATGAAACCAAGGATCAAACATGTCTGTGCTGGAGTGCAGTGTGCTTCTAAAAATGTGAGATCTTTGCAGTCACAGACTGCAGGCTTTGTTAGCCTTTCCAGATCCTGAGCCAAAAATAAGCTGGTGAAACAGATGGGAAAGTGGGAAGCTGGAATTACTAGATAGGCAAAGTGAAAATTCTTGGGTAATCTTAACTGCACATTTTTGTGCTTTAAGTGCTTCCTTTGAAATTAAAATTTATTTCTCCAATTCATTTATATCTCTAGACAATTTTTATGATTTTTTACTGTAATCTTGATGTTACAAGGTTTTGATATTTTGTGGTGCTTGTTTATGCTTTTCAAGCATTTGCAGAAATAAGTTTTCCAGAGATACATTTTTTAAAAGGTTGGGTTTTTTAAGCACCAGAGAGTCCAACACTTTGTTTTCTGGTCATAAATTTTGCTAGAAAACTAAGTAATTTTTTGTTTTCTTTAATTGAAAAATGAGAGTAAAAATTAGTGTTACATTCTAGGATTCTGTATTCATCTGATATAAATCTTAAAGAAAATGAGGAGCTGTTTATGAGGAAAATACAAGAAAGCAACAATACTACTCTTCAGAATGCCCAAAAAAATGTACATTGTCTTGGACAAAGCAAAAGAACACCAGTTGACCAGAATACTCCAAGTGGAGCTGTGCAGAAAGGAGTTGTTTGTTTGCCTGGTATTGAGGAAGAAATTCCAGAAACAGTCATTGATACAGAAAGCAACAAAGCCGCTGCAGGTAAGTTTGGAATTACACTTTTTCTCTCTTTTTGTCTTTTAAATAATTGTTCAAATATTCCTACAGCTGTAAAAATGGAGGCAAAATTAAAACTATTGTTACAGCACAGCTGTCACGGATATTCTTTTCTATGGCCCACCTCATTATCTCACACTTAGAAGAAATGAATTGCTGCAGAAGTTAGGCAGGCACAGTTCCCAGCCAAAGTGTGGTGTAATAAATCTGGAGTTGCCAGTTGTCCTGTCTTTTCCCTGGAATACAGTGAGCTCCCCTCTTCACCATGTAGGACTTCCACACAGCAGAGTATCTCCCTTGTTTTCCTTTCCTAGCAAATTGCACTGGTTCCACTGTTGTTTTAGGAGGGCTCTGGAACCTTTCAGAATCTTCCATACTACAGCTCTGAATGAAATCATACAAGTGTTTAACTGCATCTTCCCCAGAGGTGCTGGCTGCAACAGCTGTGTCAGTGACACGGGCTCAAGCAGCACATCTGTTCAGGTGGGACCTGTGGCACTGCATGCCCCCAGACTTCCTCAGGGGCTGCTCTTCTTCAGAGCAGAAAAGAACAAACTGGGAAAGAGTAACTGTAGCACTTCTGTAGATACCAAATAGGGAACATTGGTCAAGTTTCTGGTAAGTCAAAATAAGAAATAAAAGGCCATGTTTGGAAACCTTTTCAAGGAAAACTCTAGCTTGAATATGTAATAATAAAAAATTTAATTATGCCAGATTCTTTTCAAATATTTTGTCTGTGCACTATCAATAGTCTCTTGTACACCTGACAAAGTGAAAATAGCTTTTTCCCCTATATGCAGGTCATTCCAAAGTAGAAACCGCATCTGTGTTAGGAGAAGACTTATTGATGCTCTACAAGAAGTGCTGTTGTCCAGATATTAATATTTGCGTAGAAGGCAAACATTTTCAAGCTCACAGGTACATAAGTATTTATAGTAAAAAGTTTTTCAATCAATAACATCTGGTATAAAATGCTGCTGTTACTGTTATCTGTAGGAAGTTGGTGCTGGTCTCTAGCTGTGAACTGTTACAGTTTTTAGGACTTATGTGTGGAGCGACTGTACTTTGATACTAATGGATATAATACATCATCAACAGCAACTATTTTGAAAACAACTGTGCTTTTAGCACTTCTAAGATTGCCACTGTAATCTCATATATTGAGTATATACTCATGGAAATACTTGGAGACTTTTTTCCTCTATATATATATGTATGAAATATAAAATAATTTAAAAATCTGTGATCTGTAAAGAAAGCAAAAATCTACTAATAAACTATTCAGTTATTAATGCTGAATAAAACTTCCATATAGGCAGAAAATTTCTGGAGTAGTAATTTTTGTTTCAGCTCTGCAAAATCTGTGCGTACAAAACCTGTTTTTACTTTCATTACTTCAGTTTTGTAGATGTAAAGATTGTCAGGAGCCTTTCCTAGATCAAAAGTCCAAGACCATTTAAGAACTTTGGCTTATTGTACTCCTGTGGCTTGGGAAAGCAAATTAAGGTGTCAGCACCATTCCTTGTACCTTTGATTTAAGTCTGTTTGCATTTGAGATAGCAAACTAGACAGCCTGTATTTTGTTCCCTTTGAGTATATTAAGTAACTTAGAGGGACTATAAAAACCCTCCATTACTTCTAGTACTCTCTCAACACAAAACGGGGGTGTGGCGGGGGGGCAGTTTGTTACTGACATTACAATATCTTTAGAGAAGGTATATTATAATTATGTGGTATTTGGATATATGCTACATTTTCAGAATTAAGTGTAGTAAGGAATGTTTGTTTCTTCTGGTCTACATTATATGTTCTCAGATACGCAAGTTTGAGAAACAAATGCTTTACTGCAGGAAAAATAGTGCAACAAAGAGCTTCTATCAGCAGAGCTTCTTTAATTTAGGCCACTTGCTGCCTGAGGCTATGTATCTAGTTTAACTAGCATCAAAAGATACGGCAGTAAATCATAGAGAAAACAAGGATGTTCTGAAACAGGCGCAGGACTTGAGCTCGTTTTAGCCCTGGGTCATGTGAACAGTAGGAGCTAATATGGGCAATGGAACTTTGAGTATCATTGTGATGAAAGAACTAGAATGCTTTACTTACTCTAAGGGGTTTTTTTGTTAAGTTCTCAAACAGGAGACAGGCTAGGCCCCCAGTCTCCCACTTGTGTCAATATTCCTTACTTCCTCATGAAGTCCTGTGGGCTTCCAATAGACTTTAGTGTTGCTGGTTTAGGTCTTCCTAGTGTTGCATTTTTACAGAGCTCTGCATGAAGCAAATCAGATTTGGTTGGTACTAAAACTGGCACTAACCCCATCACTGTAGGAAAGCACAGATAAATTTATTTCAAAATAATTTGGTATCTCCATGTATTTTATAAATATATGCTGATAAAATTTAAATTTAGGTACTGCATATTCTGCTGAGTACCTGTCTTATTTAAAATGAGTCTCTGAAATACCCACTCTAACTATGCCCTTGAACTTGACTGATCACTGTTCATTACTAAAATTTATTTGGAATGGAATAAAAAAATGGAGATAAGTGTATTCCATATCTCCATGATATTGTGTTATTGTATCTTATAAACAAAATATGGTGTGTGTACCCCGAATTTCATACACTTCAGGTTAGGATGTAATACTAATTTACGTGTGGACGTATTTCACTAAGATAGGAAACGTTCAGTGAAAGCTTTGTTGTTATTATTTTTGCTGGATGACTCACAGGAGGAATGTGCGAGAAGGTTCTAATTTAAAGTATTGAGACTTCTGAAGCAGGAGGAGGGAGGAGAGATGACAGAATACAGAATATAAAATGACTGTAAAAGAGACCATAAATAGCATTCTTCATGCTTCTTCCTACACAAAATGAGAGTGCTCAGAAACATTTTAAGAGACAAATGCATGTAACAGAAAGGATTCTCAAGCCTGGTATAACGTTTTGCTTTTTCTGCCACAGGAAATACACGACATAAGCTAATTTTAGAAATAATAGGAAGCTTAGAAAGTGTCATGAAAAAATTCTATGTATGAGAATATTATCTGTGGCTGTAGTAAGCCAGACAAGATACATAAAGGCTAATGCAATAACTGGTGTGGATCTGGAAAACTGAAATCACAAAGCAGTTTTCATCCACTATCTTGTCTTCCTCTCTGCCACTGTACTTCCACCTTAAGAGTCCTGTTGCAAAGGTCTTCTTACCTGATATTTTGAAGACTGATACTGGTAGAGATACTGAGCTACACAGACTGCAGCTCTGGGGTTTCTTTATTCTCTTTTATGGATGGATGGGCCAGTTATATGCCTTTTAAATATAAAAGGGCAGTAAGTGTAAACAGAAGTAGCTGATAGCTCTTGTTGCAAAAATACATCATATTGTCCCAGCATGTGTTAATACCAAGTTTTGTTTGACTTGTGGTGAGTAGCAAATTCTGAATACAAGACATTACATACTTATGATTTTGATAAATGCACATTTCGTAATATAAGTAGAATTTAAGATGTTCAGAATATAATTATTTATAATGGGGCTGTATAAAATATTTATTTAATAACTGTTATTTAGTCTTATTTGGTAAATAAAACAGGAGAAATAAATGTGAAATTTTATATAAAAGGAAGATGCTTGTGGTAATAGATTTCCTCTGTGTGAATCTCAAAGTCATACTAAAAACAAGCTTTAACTGAAAAATTTATAGAGTACCGTTTGTTTTTTTCTGTAGCATATTTTGAAATTCCAAACATACTGGGAGAAAAGGCATGCAGCACACAGCTGACACCTTAATGCATAAAGGGCAAAGATTTAAGTCAATGTTATCAAAGAGTCTCATCATGAATATTTGTATGTAGTGGAATAATGTTTACTTTTTCTCTCTCAGGGCCATTTTATGTGCCAGATCTAGTTACTTTGCTGCTATGCTGAGTGGAAGTTGGGCTGAGAGCTCTCAAGAGCACATCACTCTTCAAGGGTAAGTGTCATCTCTGCAAGTCGTGTGGGAGCAAAGGTAGGCAATTTACAATTGCTGCAAATATGTAACAACTGTGCTGTGTACAGAGCGCTGAAGATTAATATGCCTTGACACTTTTCTCCAGCCTGATACATTTCCTGAGTACTGTTTTGACTTCTGGATGAAACTCTGTGTCTAGTGTATTTGTTAATATTGTCAGATGATTCAAAAAAGTCTTTTTCATCAACAAAAGGGCACTAATCCTTTTGTGTAGAATATGTTTTAATATTCACAATATACTTGAGAATTCTTTCACTTCTTGTTGTACATGTCATAAAAATACTGTGACTGTCTGAACAATGTAAATGTACTTATTGTATAAATAAGTATGAAAATTACAATATAAAGATAAATAACATTTCCTAAATAGTGTTTAATTATGATATTTCAGCAGCATATACTAAGGCAATTTTATCTAGTGGGCTTGTTCACCATGGCTTTCTGTGTGAGAATAATGGAGCTGTCACTGTAGGATGAATACTTAAGACTTCATAGATAAGCTGGGGACTGCCAGGTTAGTTCTTTTCAGTATCAGAAAACTCTATTGAAATACATTCAATTTCCTTTAAAAGCAAAGGAGTACTGATCCATGTACATGTTAGCTTTTTTTTCAGTCATGATGTTGGCCAATTCCGTTTCCTTCAGAAAGAACTGTGTACCTGCAAAATGTAACTGCTTTGTGTTAATACAAAATATCTTGGCCAAGTGATACTTTCTTAAATGTTCATTTTAGTTTCCTGTTAGTGTAATAATGCTGCTGCCAAATCAGAAACGTTATCTGTTGATTTGGTTATGACTTCCAAATCCTTATAGAACAATATATTTGCAATTTAATTTATTCTTTTTTTTTTACAGTATTTTAGAGGCTGACAGTCACCAATTACTCTGGTGTTTACACTTCTCTCTCTGTAATTGATTTCTCTGTGGTTAACAAATTTCATCCTTATTTTTCAGTAGAGGCATTCTCCTGAGAAGTACTGAATCCTTATATGAGACTATTCTCATGCCAATGTCTCATAATTTCTGTTATTATGAGTCATATGCATAATTTTGCCTTTTCCAGTTCACTTTTCTGCTTAGTGCTGGTTTCTGTGCTGTTTTCTACAACACTTATAAATGAAGTACATATGGCTTACTCTGAAATAATGAAAATCCTGCTTAAGGTAACAGCTGTCAAGACTGTGGGGAAACTCCTCCTTGCTGACTTTATGGCTGTTGTGTGTGCTGCTATACAGGGAGACAGCTGTGCTGATTTTGCTTCTTTGCATATTGCTGGGTTTTTTCCTTTTGCTTTTAGTCATCAATGTCAATTGCTTAAACATGTCTGACGTTTTAAAGGGTCTTAGTTCTGCATGAATATTCCATTTATACTCATGCACACAGGACTTGTGGGTCCTGAAGATTGCATACAAAAATATATGTGCACAAGTACAAGAAAGTGTTGTTCAGATCATGTCCACCACTGGGGTTTTCTGTGCCTTTCTGCATTGAGATGCTGGGACTGTGAAAGGATGCAAACACTGCTGTGTAGGCCTGCCAGCTTTCTTAATCTGAATAAAGACTAAATATTCTGAGTAATATTTCTACTTAGCATTGTAATAAAACTTCTAAATATCTATTTTTGTGTTGTACGAACAAAAATGTATCATAAAATAAAGACTTGGAATAATTATATAAAACAATTTTAAAATATATAGTTACTTAATAGCTGACCTATTGCTGGTAAAGAGCTTGGCAATGATGAAAAAATCCTTCTTCTATTTTATCAGTGTAAATAATATTAGTAAGTCTGCTTATTACTTATTTTTAAAGATCTAAAGTGTTAGAAAGTTTCAGCAAATCCATTGAGTAGCTAAATTCACCCCAAATGTAGTCTATTTAGATACTTCTGCATTGCAAAATTTTATTGTTTTAATTTTATCAGATCTTTCGCCTTCCATTCACAGAGCAGCTGGATGATGTATCAGCTTTTTTACCAACTTCCTTTGGCTAAGAAATGTGATGCATTTTATTATGGGCATGTCTTTATGTGTATTTTTTCATTCTATTTTGCAGTATAAGCCATGCAGAAATGAATGTTGTCTTGCATTTTATATATGGAGCTATTCTGGACTTCCCAGATGAAGTTGATGCTGGGTATATATCAATTTTTTTCTTAATTTTAGTTTGTGCTCGTTTGCTTGCTCTGTATTTTCTCAGTTAAAAGTCAAAAGGAAGACTCAAAAAAAAAGAGCTGTTGAACAAATCTTATCTATTTGACAGCTACTGGAAAAGGTGTGCCAGCTGGTTTTAGAATACCCTATGAGGAGAGTGAAAAACCAGATGATGTTTTATACCAAAATAAATCCCAATTGGCCTGTATCTCCCCTTTAGTTTTCAGACTAATATATACAGTATGTGATAGTATGTAACAGTTCATATTTTTAATTTATTTTTGAATAATTACTCAAGGTGATGAAAAAGCAAAATAGTTAGTCTTAGATCCATGAAAGATGATATACAGGAACCAAATGTAAATGTTGGCATTTTGTTCTGGGATAGTTTTTAATCACAGTTTTAAACATAATCCTGTATTAGTGAAGTAAATTCTGAAATTTGTGAATTATTCTCTAAAACTATTTATATATTAGGTTATGCCACTTAAAATGCTACCATTTCCAAAAAATATGGAATTGTTTATAATCTGTCGCAATACTGATGTTTAGCTAATTAATTGAGATATAAAATTAAATTATGACATTGATTATTATATAAAAGAATTAATAGTTTGCTCACTCTGCTTTTTAAGAATGTCATCAATAACATTTTATGTAATCTTTGGGAAAAACCTTACAAAATTCCAGAACTCTGCTGGCACAAATACTTTTTTCATTTGCTATCCTTAAAATAGAGAAACTGAGAGTCTTCCAAACAGTTCTCAGCTAGAGACTGTTTTTATACAGGCTGAACTCAATAGCTGGAGATTATTATTAGATCCATATATGTTTCTGCTTTGAAGATTTTTCTTTGGCAAGTATCACACTTGGTTATCAGTCTCTTTCTGCAGTAAGTTCTGACTGAATCAAGGGGTAAAGGTAGCATGTAAATTGTCCTGTAAGGAAAATGCACGTATCACAAGGATTTTTTGATTCCTGTCACTACTGCTTTCTCTTCAGTCACATGTTGGGCATTGCAGACATGTATGGGCTGGATGGACTAAAAGAAGTAGCTATCTACATTTTGAAAAGAGATTACTGCAATTTCTTCCAAAAGGTATGTCACTTCTCATGCTACTTGGCGAGCTACAGAGGCTGAGAATTTCAAATCTGTTACTTAACACTAAATCACAGTGACAAGGTATGTAGGAACTCTGTGATCAAGGTGTTGGCTGAAGTCACCAGTCCCTGTTCTCAGGTGTGAATCTGGAATAGATGGGGGGAGTAAGACTTGTGATATCATCAGCTATTTATAGACACTTGGAAACCCCAGCTGATTAAAAGCAGTATTCTACATGATTAATTCAGTGTATTAAATTACACTGAGTATAGTTTAATATGTGCTATTGTAAATGTAACTCTTCTTGGTGGGCATGTGGAAGTGCTCTATATTTGTATATCTTGTTTCATGGGCATATATTTAGAAAAAAAAAATCTGTTCAATTAAAATTGGTTTAAAAACAAATATCTGCTTAGAATTGAGCATTTCCATGCATTAGCTCATGAGGCTGAATCCTGCTTTACTGACATGTGGAAATAGATGATGCATAAAGGCAAAAAATCTTAAATACCATGGCAGCTGACTTTCCTTATGATCTTTGAACTGAAGATTTTGTATTTTTGTATAGTTTCTGTAAATCAAATGTACAATAATTGTGATAATTTTCTCACAACTCCAGCCTGTTCCTGGCAAACAGCAACCTGTACTAGAGTGCATGGCTATTGCCCATTCATTGGGAGTGGAAAACCTATATGCTGCTTGCATGAAGTAAGTAAAATAAAATAGTTTTTATCTGCTTTCTGTTGAAATTATTTTATATTGCAAGATGGGTTTATTTTGGCATATGTAACATTTACATTTTAAACGTTTTTTCTTCACAATACTTTAGAGGTATCACTTATGCTAAGAAGTGAAGATAGAACATTTTTCATCTTCCTTACCTAAGAATGGCTCTCTTTTCAACAGATGGGTAGGAAAACATTTTGCAAGATGTTTTTCAGAGAAAAGCTTTGCCAATTTACCTACTGAACTTCAGAACAATTGTTTTGTTATGTTGATTAACTCTTTGGTAAGTAGTGTGCTTTGTAGAAAAATAGAGCAATGTAAATTTTTTCCTTATTTGTACAATGTAATTTAAGAGATAATAAATATAGTTTCTTAAATCTGTAGTATATTTATACTATGTAAAAGTTAGAATAACAATTTTAGAAACTATTTTGATGTGAAATGTCATTGTTATGCTTCATGACACACAGTCTAGTAATTCTCACACCCAATTCCACCATAATAATAGAAAATATGTTTATGAAACACAACTGTGACATCATAATGCAACATTATGGAAGTGTTCAAGGCCAGATTGGATGGGGTTCTGAAAAACCTGGTCTAGTGGAAAGTGTCCCTGCCTACAGCAGGGAGGCTGGGATTAGAGGATCTCTAAGGACCCTTTCAACCCAGGCCATCCTATCATTCTCTGATTATGTATTTGGATAGGGAGAAACAGGAAATCACTGTATCAATTTCTGTGTTACATGGTGGCATACCTCATTTTTGACTGCCTTTTCATCTTTATCTGTATTCCAATTTGGAAAACATTGACTTCTTTCTTTTTTCAGACCTCAGGTGGTTGCTGGCTATCAGGGATCACAAGCTATTTGTTTACAGGCAGGCTGACTTTACAAAAATAAAGTAGCAGTATAGTATCCATATCTTTTACTTCTCAGATAACAGTACTACACGGGTCCCACCTAAAGCTCAGCTTTCATTTTTTGTAGCACTTACTTACATTGTTCCAATTTAGACCTGCCTAAGTTTAAGTATTTTCTGATTGTATTTCTGTATTAAACTATGCTTAGAGCTGATTTAAGGTAACTGATTTGAACTAGACCTGTACTCAGCCTGTAAATACACTGACTTGTAACAGATATATGAGAAGTATGTAGAAATAAAGGTAAATCTGAAGAGCTGCTGCCAAACATGACTGTCTATGTATGTAACTGAAATGTGGATTGTCACAGACAAAATGTCATCTAATTAACTCAGGTAACATTCAGAGCATGATTTTGGTTCTATCACACACGCAACCACAAAATATGTGACATCTCATATATCTCATGCTGAAATCCTTGTCCCCGTATCTGTGTTCCCCAAACTAAATGGCTCCGGTGTGGCTGTGCGCTGGTTCTAGCCAAGAACTACCCCTGCTGAAAGGACTGTGAAGCCTTCTTGGGACTGGTTTTTTCAGGACTTCTGTGATGAAGTACTTAAAGTGCTGAGGCCAGCATGTCAGCTAGGAATAGCAGCTGCAACTGCATATTCAGGTGAAAGCCTGAAAAATGACAGATTTCAGAGCTATGTGCCTTTAGGTTGGATATTAGGTAAAGGTTCTTCCCCCAGAGAGTGGTTGGGCACTGGAACAGGCTCCCCAGGACAGTGGTCACAGCACCAGCCTGGCAGAGCTCAAGAAGTGTTTGGACAAAGCTCTCAGGCACAGGGTGTGACTCTTGGGGTGGTGCTGTGCAGGGCCAGGAGTTGGACTTATGATCTGTGAGGGTATCCTTCCAACTCTGCTGTGATTCTGTGATCAAGAGAAACTTGAGAATATCCACAGTTATAAAACCTGAACAGTTCTACCACAATGCATGAATCTAACAGAATAAAGATAGCAGCTATAATACCTCAAGAGTATGTCCAGTAACTCAAGATGCTGGGTGCTCTGTCACTGTATTATATCAGCATACTGAGCTGTTCCTAGAATATACATATAGCAATGTGTTTCATACAGAGTATAAAATTTGAGAAGTTTTAAATAACATTTTCAGATACAGATCAGTTCATTCTGATCTACAGCTGTTCATAGTTAAACCACCGCCCACCTCCAACTCCAAACTAACTCGGGTGTGTACTGCAGCTATGAGCACATGTAGACACAGTTCTAGGTTCTTCTCTAGGCCCTTGTGCAACATTATTAGGACAGTTGAAAGATAAAGGCCCTCCTTCCCCTCTGCTTATTCTAGTCAATGAAGATGCTGTGGTACAGTTTGTGTGGGAATACATGTGCTGCCTTGCCAGCATTTGCAGAACAGCCATGGCACTGTGGTACTTGGTACTGCCCCCTTTGTGTACCCAGCTTTGCTGAAAGGTTTTTTGCAGCTTGGATGAAGTGGGTTTTAGTTCCCATATTAATGATTTAAAATTTGTGTTGGTGTGTCTTTGCAAGATTCACTGGTATTTTATGGACTGAAGCCTTGCAAGCATCTAGCGTTACAAAATTAAATGATAAAGCTTAAGCCTCTTCTGCCCAGAGAATGGTTCTGGTGAGCATTCATTTCAGCATTTAAGACACCCATTCCAAAAACTTGTGGAATTCCCAGGGGAGTTTTTCACAATCTGCAAAAATGCTTTAAGCCTGCTTGAGGAATGAAAAAGAAAGGGTTTGACATTAATTTTGCTACTGTATGATTTACAGTCCTTTTTCTCTGCTGCTGGAGTTCTCTTCTGTAAAACTTTAAACATTTAGACCCAGTTAAACAGTACAACTCTGCTGATTCTTTAATGTACTGATGCTGGAAATGTAAAACCTAGTTAATGCGACAGCCCTTTAGAGGAAAAAAAAGATGCAAAGAAAAAGAGATTGTTGATGGAAAATCCCTGGAAAACCACAATGATGAACACAGAAACGTTAAAATGGGAGTATCATTTAAAGCACTGTCTCATCTTCATGTGAGAAAATTACAGGGGTTTTAGATAAGTGGACTCCACTTTAAAATGGTTAGGGAAAAAGTACAATAAAAGAAGTAAAATTCAGTTAGAAACGCTTCTACAAAGTGCTGATTTAATTAGAAGTCAATGAAGGCATTTTATATTTCACAGGAAGTGTCTAATGGGAGTAAATGCCTATTGCCTTTTGAGCAGTGGTTGAATTTGAGACAATTCAAAAAGGTTGTAATTGAGTCCAGTGGGAGCAAAATCAAACCATGAGCATATATGTAATTCTTAATTTATGTGATCTGCAGAGAACAAACTGAGTTTGCCTAGAGATTAGTAAAATAATTTTTTAAATATATTTTAATAATGGATGGTTAGATTTTATCTTTTAACTATAATGTGCACAAAGAAGGTACTCCTTGCTAACTTTCATAAGACAAATGTGATTGTGATCTGAATTTGCAGGATGGGTTTTTTGTGTCAAATATTTATCTGAATTGTTGCTTTTTCAAGTGTTACTGCATAATTTATCAGTGTCCTGCTAGGTCACAATGAATAGAGCTTTCAGGCTATTCTAATGTGGATAACCATAAATTCCAAGTTCTTTTCAAGTAATGTGTTAGCCAGTAAAGTTGCCCTCAGGTACTGTGCTGATGCAATGCATGAAAGAACCAAAGACACAGACCAGGATAATAAATATTAACATCTGTCTGCATGTTGAAATGTAACTAGAAACATAAAAGTTACATTTCTTTGAGAAACTTAGACAAAAAAGAGGGTGAGTTCAGCTAAAACTCTATCTGGGAAGACAAATATTTGTTGTCTAACTCCTTTAAATAAAGCAAAAGGATTCATAATTACGAAAAAGTTTTTTCTGTAGCCTGAATGCTAGGCCATCCACACTCACCTAAAACCCCAACTCAGCAGTTTTATTCAAGAATTTATTACATCTTTCAATGATCTATGATCCTTTTTTCTATTCAGCTTCTCCAGCTAACATTTGCCTTATTTTCTTCAGGACTGCAGTATGTGATGACACAGTTGTAATGATGCAGTTGAAAAAATATAATAAAAGCTATTGGAAACTTTAAAACTTTACTACCTAACTTTAGGCAAAACTGAACCAATAGAGATTTCTTTTTCTGCTTTTGTTTCAAAGGCACATATAATATTAACAAGTATAAATGCCAAAAATTATTTTAATAAGGGAAATAATGACATGGTTGGATCCCTGTATAAAAGCTCAGTAACTGAACAGATGCTGTTTTACAATCAGCAATTCCTTAGGTAATTGCTTGGCAACAGGCTAATTTCTGTTTCTGTTTCAAGACCACCGAGAATGCTGCTTTCCGTTTGATGGAGAGTGACCGGCTGATCAATAGCCTGCCCCGAGTGAAATGGACAGAGGCAGCTGTGGCCGTGGCATCACAGCTACATGAGGAATGTGTAACCTTTATTGTTGCAAACTTCCTACATGTAGTACAAAGTGAAGGCTTCTCTGTTTTGTTGCAGGTAAAAGTGCCCTCAAGTTCTTATATGCTTCCAAATAAATTGAATTATATCACATTTTTGAAAGATCAGGCTGCTAAATTACCAAAATAGTCTCAGCTTTTGCTTTGAAGTACAATTCTATGGAAAAAAAAAAAAAAAGAAAAACCAACAAAACTCAGGCAGTGCTAAGAGTTTTGAGGGGTGGGTTTTTTCAGGTTTCTTTTAAAGCATGTAAGCGTTTTGATGCACAGTGCTAATACTGCATTCAGGTTACGTGCTTCAGTTAAGCAAAAATTCCAATTGGTTTAGTGGGACAGCTTCTCTGTTGCAAAAAGTATAGATATCAGCTTTGAAAAAGCTTTCAGACCCCCTGAAAAAACAGCCTGGATTTACAAGATTATGAGTAGGAGCAGTGTACTCAAACTTCTGCTGATTTCTGTTGCGAGTTCCACAAATGTGGCAATGCTGCAGGTGCTGCTGAGAACTTACCTAGTCACCCAGCCAGTTCATTTCTCCTGTGAAGTCATGTTCTTTAATATGTACAGAGGAGTGAAAAAAATGAAGTGGGAAATGTTAAAACAATTTGCCTTTGGATCCAGAGTTGCATGGGGCTGTAAATTCATCACAGTGTGCTTTTTCCTAAAATTTCTATTAATTAACGAGGCCTCAGGATAATTTCCTGAAGGCCAGGAGAGGGGTGGGGTTGTGGAATGGATACAAAAGCAGATGCTCAGCTTTGGAGTAGCTCCTGCACAGCTTGATAGCAGATCCTCTCTGGTCAGTAATGCTTTTGCATACAAAGTACACGCTTTTGTTTTAAACGACTGCTTTTGTTGTTTCCTCAGGCACAGGCAATGAGCAGCAAACCTGACCTCCTAGAACTAATTTTCAATGCAATTGAAAAAAGCATTAATAATGAAAATAGCTGCTTTCTTCTTGTAGCAGTGGATATGTTGTTGGACTCTGCAAACGTGAAGGAGATGGTAGGTTCTTAAATGTGCAGTTCTTGTAGAAAAACTATTCTGGTACAGTTTCATGTCATGGTTCAAATCAGATGATATGGTGTGAGCTCAAATGGCTCAGTCATGCAACTGGGGTCAAACAGAAAAGCATCTGCATAAATCCAAGGTCCTTTTGAAGTACAGAAAACGTTGGCATTTGTTTACTTAAAAAAGAAACCCCAGCCTGGCAATAAAAAAAATCCTGTTTATTACTAAAAATGTAAGTCCTATGGGCAACATTGCCCTATTGATCTTTCTATCACTTTAAATTTGTGATAAGAGAAGAACTTAGCAAAATGCTGCATTACCTAAAATGTGCAGTGGAAGAGAGCTTATTCTCTCCCTCCCTAATTATTTCCCCTGCTTTTTGTGAAGGTCACAGGTACATTGGTTTTGTTTAAAACTGTCTTCTAAAGCACAGACTGACAGTTAACCCAGTGTGTGTTTTTTGGATTGGGTGGAGGCGTCAGGCTCCATGTGTGTAATATACCGTGTATATTCACACAATCTAAATAATGACATTTAAGCTGTGGTTGACTTACTCTGGGAACAATTCATAAATAGTATGACAAAGAATAAAAAATAAATGAAACATTAATTGCTGCAATCTGGTGCTATTATAGATTTACTTGGTCAAAGCAATGAAAATTTAATCAAATACATTTTTCCCTGGAGTATTTGACCTTGTTGTGACACAGCTGACAGTGAAGAGCTATTATGGGGTTCATTTAAAAAAAAAGAAAAGGAAAAAAAGAGCAATGAGAGCAAAGTAGTGTTTACTAGTGCTGTAATTTGTAGGTTTTAAACTATAGGAAAAAAATCACTGTGGTGGGCAATAATCCTTCAAAAACAGCATCTCCATCTACCAGACCGTTATAAAATATAAGTGATGACATCATTGATCTAGCTTAGGGAGTAAGTAGATTCTGAAAGGAATAATGACTGGTTGCTATGACAATATGCTCCTGCCAGCTGCTGATTTGTTACTTGAACACAGGGTTTTACGTGCGAGATCCAGGCGCTGCGTGATAAGCTCTGGGTCTTCCTGGTTCAGTCTTTTTATGCTGTTCGTCACACAGAAGGCTGGAAGCTGATGAGGCCAGACCATCAACAGAAAATACAAGCAGGTATGTCTGGCATCAATCGGCATTAGAATTTTTTAGCAATCTGTTCAGTGGATATAATGCAGATGGAATTGTGCAGCCTGATACAAATTAAAGCAAAATTTGTGCTGCTTTGTGTTTTGAAGTGGTGTTTTACAATAGAAGCATGATGGCATGCTTAGGTAGTTTCAAATATGGGAATCAGTAAGTAATTTTCTGTGAAGAGTCTTCCCTGCTTTTCTTTTTAGGAGTATATATGATAGAACCCCCAACCATCATGTAGATGGATTCTTTTCTTATTTACAGCTACTCTAAATTAATGGAAATGCTGCAGTAGGATTAAAAACCTGATCTGCCTCATTTTTAAGGAGATAAGGGCTGTGGATGAATTAAATTTGCACAAAGCAGATTATCCATTCCCTGAATTCCGTTTCTGTCCTTTATCGTTTTCTGCACGATGTATAAATATTGCTCGTCTCTTGCATAATGCTCATCCTGTGCACTGTGAGCAAATGCAGATAGCTGGGCTCCTCGGCTGACTGGCATTGTGATCTTGTGTGTGCTGCTGCAGAGAGCCCCTAAGGAGCTGCATGGTGTGCTCTCAACATTTTAACAGACAGCACTTACAACTAAAAGGAGTTTTTGTTCTGAATGCTCCTTTGTTTTGAAGTACACGAGTATTCTGAGGATGTGGAACTGATGATGGAGTTCAGGTTATGGTTTAATATTAGCTTTGACAGTACAGTGTTGTAAAATAAAAGAATGCTGAATACTTCTCTACATTCAAATCACTTTTGATTCAAAGGAGGCATGAATATTTTTATATCCTTTTCCTTAAAGACATAAGTAGCAAGGATATAATAGTTATATACCTAGAGGTAGATGAAAATTTGATTCTACAATTACATGCTGAAAGATGCAGTGACAGTCTTTTCTAAGCATGATTCAGGAATGTAGCCAAGTAATATCTCATACTACTCTGTAGAACAGGGATAGGATTTCTTCTTGATTATAACATCCTTCAGAAGCAGAGGAGTTGGCTTTAGAAAAGGAGTTGGCTGCTTTACTTTTAAGATGATCATGTCTCTATTGTGAACGATCTTTCAGCTACTTCACACTAGTGCTTTCAGAAGAAAAAAAATACTTATATCAAGGTGTGTCTTAATGTTCCAAACTCCATATTGCCAAAAATTATTTTGTTTTCTTTTATGTTAAATTCTGACTGAAGTTGCATACATTTTATATATGAAAAGGCTGAAATGTTTGCATGAATTACCTGGTTTTAATTACAGTCAAAGCAGTCATACAACATTGCTAAATAAAATTTAATCTTATGGGGAAATACATGTAGATAACTTAGATCAACTTTCATCTTGAAGATTTCTGGTGGTGGCTTTTCTCCTAGAAATTTAGCCTATATAGATTTAGAAGGCTATAACAGAGGAGGAAAAATGCCAAAATAGGAGGCATAATATTGTGGTTTTTTCATTTACAGCCTGTCTTGTGTTTTCTCAGGCACAAGTTTATAAGGATTTTGTCTAATATATTGGTATGTATTAATATGCAGAGTCATTGCTAGAAAAAGGATTAGATCCCTGGGGTGCCATTTTCAGCATACCTTTTGTGTGATTTTTAGAGACTTATATAAAAATTATTTTTAGTATCTTTAGCAAGAATTCAGCAGAATTTTTGTATTATACATACAAAAAATGTTTCCATGTATAGTACCTCAGAACATGAGGCATTGAATGCCTAGATTTTTATCTATTTTTTGCAAAACCTTTTTTCTAGTTGAAATATGAATACAGACATAAATGAAACCTATCGATTCTGGGTCTGTACAGTGTCTATAAATATCCCTTTTGTGTTCTATAAGTGCAATTGATTCAAAAGCTTTGTTGAAAACTGCTTTCCTCCCAGAGTACATCAGATAAAAAAAAAAAAAAGGCATTCACTGCCTGAAAACTGCACATGACAATCTCAGGGATAATTCTCATGACATTACACTGCATGCTATCCAAAGAGGCACTATGACCTTAGTGTGTACATTTAGGTATTTTGGCTTTGCCAATTTTGAAAACTAGTATAATTCACTTTAATGTAATTAATCTTTATATAGTATAAATAAATACTTTATAATTAATGATACACTTAAAAGCCATTATACTCTAAATTTGAAGGTGTCTTTTTGTAAATTTTGTACACTTTTAAAGGTCTCAGTGCACTGCTAGCTATAAATGAATTGAGCTTGAATAAACAAAAGTGAACATGGGGACTTGGAAAATGGACATGGGGAAACAGAAGAGTTAAGTAACTTGCTTATGGCCATGTGGTGTCATTGTAGATCTCACTTTTTATGTTCCAAACATAAAATCGTGTATTTTCATTTAACATTTGCCATGTCACCAAAATTACCATTTCTAGATTATATCAGGACCCAAAGAAGCGCTTTCTGATTTCACATGATGTTAACTGAGTAGGCTGGCTTGTTTTCTGTCCCCCTTCTTTCCTACCAAACAGTGAAGAAACTGCTTGTTCCTTTTACAGCTGCATTTGACAAGGGTGATGACCGAAGACTTGGCAAAAAACCTGTATTCACCAGTTCTCAGGTAAACAGTTATATCCAAACATTTAGAACATTGAGATAATTGCAAAAAAAAACTATTTTCATTATTTGTTTAAATTAATACTTATTTTCCATATTGCTTAATGGAACTTGCTTTTGAAAAATCTGTATTTTCTTGTAAACTGTTTCTGCAGAATCAGTAATGATCACTCGAAACATCTTAGACTGTGTTCTGTGACGTTTTCAAACAGATCAGCTCAAATAAAAGGCAGGAATTTGTATCCAGAACCTCACATTCCTCTCTCGCTACATCATGAAACTCATCTGTTTCCCAGAGCAAATGGTTTGCTACTGAGCTAATGAATATTTGCTATTATTACAAGCCACCACAACACTGAGTCTGTTACACTCCCTGCTCTGAAAAATATTTATTGGTGCCCTTAATAACTCCTGTTGAAACTCACACTCAAAACTACGTCATTAAATGATAAAAAACTAGTATGGATTTCACATGATTTGACAGTTTTGCATACATTGCAATGATGCTGGTATCACAAAGATTCCCTTTCATGCACTTAATTCTCCATGTTTGAGTTCCTCTTTACCTGAGAGAATCAATACTGACATTTGCGTGGATACACTGTTTAGTAATGGTTAAAACCATCACATGGTGAAAAAGAATTTTTGTCTTTATGTTTGTAATAATGCATAGTCTTTATTCCTTTTTGGAAAATATGCACATATAACTCAAAAAAATTTCTTACTTAAGCAGACACTAATAATATAAATAAGTAAATATTACAGAGTAATTTGTCCAAAGTAAAAGTGAAACTCGGATATTTCTGTCTCCTCTAGATAGAGCAGTACTTTAATATTCTTGAAAGCCAGCAAACTGAGCTAAAATGTGTGTGTATGTATATACATAGATACATAAAAATTTACTTCTTTGTTGAATCTTGTTGCTTTAGATTTATGTACTATTTTAACAGTAGATGTGTTTCAGAAATTAAAGATTATGGATAGTTTGGTGTTAAAAGTATGTTTTATTTGGATTTTTTTCCAATGCCAGGTTGTTTTTTTTTTTTTTTTTCCTAGCTAAATAAAACTACTACGGCATCTGTTGGTATAAGGAATACTTCCTGGGCAGAACACAGCAAGAAAGATTGCTTGGGAGATTCTTCCACTAATCGGGATAAAATGAAATCTGATGGATTAGGAGCATCTGGACATGCATCCACCAATAGAAACACTGTTAATAAGACTTCAAAGCATGAGGATGTAAAGGGGAAAGATGGCAAAAAATTAGTTTCCAAGATTACTAAGGATTCCAAACCTGGGGAAAAAGCTGCTCTGCCAAAGGCTAGAGCTGTTATAAAGACAAAAATAGAAAATAATGGAAATGTGAAGGCTGAAAGCATGCTTACCAAGCAAGATATAGAAAAGACATCATCTGCAAGTGGACAAAAAAATTCAGGAAGCAGCAAAGGACTAAGGAACCATGAAGGAAAAGTTGCAGGTGCCAGACCTAAAGTGCTGACAGTAACCTCAAGCATGCAGAACAAAACAAAGCCATTGAAAAAAACCACAGGGAAGGAATCTCCCTCCTTGGTGACTGTGGCAGCAACTTCAAGCAAGTCAGCAAATTCAAACATGGACATCCAGACTGCGAGTGAACAGACAGAGGAACGCAAAGAGGATAAATCTGTTGAGGAGGGGAAAAAACAGACTGGTAATTTTTAAAATTTTTTTCTTTAAATTCCTCTTCTGATTGGTCTCAGGCTGGCCATACACTGAAAACCAGCCAGGGAAGCTTTAAGACAATCTACTATAAATTGATAAGAGTTACATTCTTCCCCTGTAAATGAGTATAAACTGGCTTTTTGGTAAATTAATAACCATCTAAAATAGTAAACATTTTATAACTTTTGTATGTATGGTCTTCTCAATAACTGATCTTCATATATTAGATTTTTTTTCAGTACTTATATGCAATGCATTTACCTCTGTAATTAACTTTGAATTTACTCTACAGTAGTGAAAACAAAGGTATCTGTGAAGGTATCAAATGGAGTCACCACCAAAAATAAAAAGACTGAGCTTGAGGCTAATGCCACAACAAGCAGGTATGTTACAAAGCTGTTCAGTGCTGCTTCATAGCTGTGTGCATGAATGTATGAGTTTGGCAAGAAAGGTTTCAGGTGAACTATTAAGTTTACCATTAGGTTTTCTTTTTAGTTTGAGAATAGTTGTCTGTAGGATGTTATTTGCAAAGCAATTTGAGTTAGCTATTGGCAACATTGAAGATGAAATTAGTTTGGCTTTTGTGTTGGACTGCTGCATGCTAATAATTTTAAAATTGTTATAGGTCAGATTCAGAATTCTGCATACTGGAACAGTTAATGTCTACACAAGGTGTTGCAAACCATTTCTGGAATAGTTTAGATTAAACTGGACAGGAGACTGCTGAAGTGAAATTATGAAATGGGTTATTATATATCCATGTTTGTATATAAATTCAAAATATAGATATATATTTAATTTTTATTTTCAAAAAGTTTACTTTTTAGGTTGTATTTCCAATGTTTATATATGTGTGCACATTAAAGAACATATATTTCTTGTTTAAATATAATTAAACATTGCTAGATCTAAGCCTGAAAATAATGGATGTAATGATTTCTTTGCAGTCTGGCAAAAAAACCAACAGGAAAAGGGTGTAATGAGCAAAATGTACAAGCTGTTCTAAAGAAAAAAGGGAATGTGAGTATGAATTCTGCAGCACAGCAAAAGACTCAAAACACACCTACCAATTCTCCCAAGAACCAAGGTAAAGTTTCATACAGCAGTTAAATGATCTGTCACTATTATGCAAAGCTTTGAGGTTTGTTTGGTTTTTAGCACAATTGTTTGGAAAAATCTTCTGGAGAATTCTGGGGTTTTTTCCATATTTCACTTTTGGTGACAATCCTAAACTGTAAAATGCAAATTAATGTGTCAACTTCAAAACACTTCAAAGACAGTCTTCACTGCCAGTCAGTGTTTTCTTCTGCTTGTTTAATTTGCACTGCAGAGTCTTCCATTTGCTGATCCCCTGCACTTCTGCATTTGGAACCATGACTGAGCTCAACAGAAAATCTGTAGGTCGAGCATCTGTAATAAGCCTCAAAGATCTGGACTGCAGACTGCTTTATGCCTCCATATTTTGGTGTTTTCCTGTTTCCCCCTCTCAGTAGTGCTACTGCTACTGGCCCCAAACAATTACTCAATTTCAACAGCTACTGATAGCAGGGTTAGGAAATGACACTAGAATAATGAGAAGAAAACTGCTTTAAAAAGATACAAGGTGTTAAGGATGGAGCTCCAGTAGTCAAGTTTTATTATCTTAAATGCACTGTGATATAGAAGATACAGGTTCTGTCAATTTGTGGTCATTAAAGATCTTGCAGTATTTTCTGACTGAGCCAGGACATTAACTCTGGTATTCTAATCACATTATAACTAATGTAATTATTTTATGCCTCTGTTCATTTCCTCTACAATATAAATTGAATACAGTACTCATTACTTCCTGTGCTAAGCTGCTGTGTAGTGTTTGTAGGCATTATTAGAGAGCTGCTGCTTTTTACTGCAGGGATGACTACTTCAGTTACAGGCTGAAGTGATTCCTGTATGTATATTCTATGAACTGCCTTAAAGGTGCCAAGATGGTATTTTTGTCTATTATTTATTATTTCAAATCTTAATTCTTTAACAAGCCTTAAATCCCTTAGTTACATTAAAAGTTGAGTAACTTGTTTCTTAACATAAACAAACATTAACATAAAATTGGTGAATATACTGTGATTGCCACATACAACCTTTATAGTCTTTTTTACTGTTTGTTAGGACCTCAGGGGGAATCACCAAATTCACTGAAACCAGGAATGTCTCCAAAACATAATGAAGAAAAAAACATGTTACAACACCTGGTTCAGACAACAGTCCCAGAAAAACATTCTTCAGCTAAGAAGAAGAGTATTAAACAATCACAAACACCTGTAACAAAAGCCTCTTCAAAAGTAACACCTAAGACTCTGGCTCCATCAAAGAATGCTGAGATTACGAATAGTAAAGACGCGAAACAGAAAACAGCTGCATTAAAATCTCAGTCCTCTGCCCAGAAGCATTCAAGGAGTGATTCTCCTGTTGTCCAAAAGAATATGCACACCTCTGAGCACAGAAGTTCAGGACAGAAACTTGAGAAAAATACAGCTGATGCTGTGGCAGATCAGCTTCATGACAATAATGAATGCTATTCTGCAAATGAATCTTTAAAACCTGCCACAGAAAGTAGCAGAGATAATAAATTGCTGGAGTCCTGTCAATCCAATAGACAAAAATTACCAGATTCTTCTGAAACTGTGCAATACAAAATACAATCCGAATCTTCTTCTCCTCAAATTGCAGAAGAAACTATTTATAAACTGAATGTTTCAATACAAAATGACATGGAAATAAGACAAATCTATGGAGATCAGACTGGAATTAGAAAGACTGAAGATCCAGAGAAAGATGATAATACAGCTGAATTTCACTGTCATGCACAGTCTTCCAATGGTGGATATTCAGACTTTTCCAAAGAAACCAATCAAAAGACGATTGTTTTAGGAGAACTGGTAAAAGATTCAAAAGCAACAAAAGTCTGTAATGAACAGAGTGATAAAATAAACTCTGAAACAGATCATAACTATGGTGAAAATGCTTTGTCAAGCTTTTCCCAAGTAACCAATAAAGATGATGAGACATCATCTTCTCAGATCCATGTGGAAGGATTTCTTACAGTTGATGAACTGTGTGATACATCAGCCTTGACTGAATATAAATCAGTTGCAACAGATTTAGATGATGTTTCAGAATGTTCCACAGAACAAATAACAGAAAAATATTCACCTAATTACACAGAGCTTATAGAGCCTATGGAAATGCCAGAAAACCATGAAAATGAAGAAATTCCTTTTGTGGACCATTGGAGTACTGGTGCTGTAGATCCAAAAGAGAGTCCTGAATCCGATACTGGCAGTGCAACCACATCCTCTGATGATATAAAACCAAGATCAGAAGATTATGATGCCGGAGGCTCTCAGGATGACGAGGGATCCAATGAACGAGGGATTTCTAAATGCAGTACTATGTTATGTCATGATTTTCTTGGAAGAAGCAGCAGTGACACAAGTACACCTGAGGAATTAAAAATTTATGATAGCAGCCTAAGAATAGAAGTGAAAGTGAAGAAAGAGGGTTCTGATGTCTTTCGTGTTAATTCAACAAGTGATGATGAAATACCAAGAAAAATTTGGTCCCATCAAGAGAGTTCACGGACCACTACTAGAGAAAGCAAAAGTTCTACTTTTGGTAGTGCACAGTTCACTCAGGAAGCAGACCAAGTTTCTTCTTCTGCTGATGAAACAGAAGATGATAGATCTGAAGCAGAGAACATTGCAGAAAACTTTCCCCCGTCAAATGTTCCTACTCAGCCGTTCCAAGGAATTGATAATTTAGCTTTTGAGGATGCAACTGAAAATGATACTGCAAGTCAGGAGTTCTCTAAAGCTAAAAATTTCAAACGCTCTGTTTTACTTTCAGTAGATGAATGTGAGGAATTGGGAGCTGATGATAAAGTGGAAACTCACACTTCACGTCAGCGCTCAATAGATTCTCTTACTCCTTCAGAAGTATTTGACAGTGTTTCTCAAGAGCACCACGGAATGACATTTTATTCAAGATACTCATTGGAAACTGAAGAGGGATTCCTGGATGGCAAACAGCAAAAGGATAGAGACAATAGATTGGATAAAAGTGGAAGTTCTGTCCTGCATCTTCACAGTACTGAAATCCCAGGAAAGGAGAATCAAGGTGCTTCAATGACTGAACAAAATTGCCCAGAGAAAGTATATTCAGCAGATAGTCCACATCCAGGAGGAAACCAGCAAGTAAATATGAAAAATGAGGTTGCTAGTGAATTTCACACATGCAATAAGTACTTAGACAATGATGCAAAATCTCAAGAAAGACCATGTCATCTGGATCTTCAGCAGAGAGAAACTAATTCTGATGTGCAAAAGAGCAGCTCTGCAAAACCTGTAGAAGCCAGTAACAATCAGATGCTGACTCAAGAAAGTCAAGTGAGAGACAGTCAACCAGCAACTACTGAATGCGCTAATACTGATTTACTTCCAGGTAATGTAGAAATAGAAACATTCAGTCATTCAAAACCAAATTAATAGGGAAAGCTTTGACAATTTGTCTAGGATTGAATCCTGAACTGAAGTAATTTTGGCTGAAACAGTATTTAAATATTTTTAAGTATTTCACTTGGGTAGAGAATGCTTGTCTGTTTGAAATATCCGTCAATACCCTGCTGTTCAATGAGAAATGTGACTACAAGAGATTTTCTGTAATGCTAAAAGAAAGATTGGATGCAGTTGTCTGTACTTCAGTTATTTTTGATCCAATCTAACATTGACAGCATCAGCTTTTGATGGAATCTTAGTATTTGTTTTGTCTGCTTGACAACATATAGTATGTCTGAATGGGATGTGCAATAACTAAAGTAATAACCTTAACTAAAGCGCACTGAACTGTTTACCTAAACAGCTATATGCATTATTGTTGTAATTTATTTATATATTATATACAAATTTGGATCATTCTCCCACTGACTATAACTGAATATTTGCCATATACACCAGTGGGAATAGGTTTGAATTCTGCTTTAGAGCTTATGAGATGTCTAAAATTCTAAATTTTACCAGTAAAAGCTTATTTCCTAAAGAGAGATTATACTTAGAACTGATGCTTATATACAAAAAAAAATTCTAACTTGTTTCATGTAGCTAGATGAATACTTGTCTAGTTTTGTGTTTTGTCTTCTTTATATCAATAACTCAGTCTGTTTATCCCATCAAAAATATGCAATAGTGTTGATTACAACTATTGTGTATTCGAGAGTAATGAAACACTGATGATGATCTGTGTTCAGCCAGACCACAGAACAAGAAGATATTAAAAGTTGTACTATTTTTTTTAAGTTTGCTTGCCCTTGCCTGCAGCTGCCCTTGCATGTGCAGTATAGAAATAAGCCTGCAGATAAACAATTTTGGTTTTAATTCTCTTTTAAGCTGACATAGCTTAAGTCACCATTCAGTAATCATTCTCTATTAATTCCCTCTATGCACCTCCTGGTCAAAATTTAATTTATGTAGTAAATGAGAAATTTCATGTGCATTAAGTGTATATTTACATTGTCATTTTCTGTATCAGAAACTTAATTATGGAGGTTATTGTTAATTACCAGTGGTGATTGCTGCTTTAACTTAATTTATAAATCATACTTGTTTTTTATATAGGAAATAAATGCCTCAAATTTTGTCAATTTTGTATAACCCTCCATACCCCCTTTTTTAACCTGATTGGATTGTCCTTCCTGAATGAATTAAATTTTGCTCTACACAGCCCTGAGGGGAGGATCATCTACAATTTTTACATTGTACAGTATTGTGAATTATTTCAGGAGACATAGATGATTATGACACAATGGCACAAACCTGCATGTATGAACATCGGCCTTCAAAAACCCTTTCTCCAATATACGAGATGGATGTTGGAGAAGCAATTGAGCAGAGGATGGATTCAGAAACAGCAGTTCTAGAGATGGATTTTGAAGATCAACAGTTTGCAGAACAGGACTGGACTCTACTCAGGCAATTGTTATCTGAGCAGGACTCAAATATAGATTTCAAAAACTCTCTTCCTGAAGACCTTAACTTAGCACAATGTCTTATCAATCAGACACTGTTTCTGGCACGCGATGGTTCAAATCCTCAGGGTACCTCACAAGTTGACACATTCAGTAGGTGGACTGAACTCATGTCTCCACTTGACGACTCCTCAGCAAGCATTACAGTGGCAAGCTTTTCATCTGAAGACTGTTCCTCCCCTCAAGGGGAATGGACAATTCTTGAACTGGAAACCCATCATTAAGGTTTCACCTGTTTGCAACTGAACTCCATCCAACCCATTCCTCAAATCTATTTTTGATGAGTTGTTTCCATACCATAATGAAATACTGCATCAGTCAAGAACGAGCAATTCTTGATACTGAGGCAATCTTTCTGATAAAATGAGGTAAATATGTTAACTTATCATCTAGATTTAATCACAAGTACAGTAATTTTTCAAGACTTAAATATATGTCTTTTCTAAAAATGAACTTGAGCATGTATTTTCTAGAATTGTTAGAAAAACTAGATGACATGAAAGAAGAGTCTGGGTTTCTGCCCTCTCTTTTATCTTCTTTTTTGACATTTAATGTTCTCATTGATCAAAAATTTAAAGATGAATGCACTATAGTAGACCTATTCCTCTCCTTCCCCCCTGCCCCAATATGGTGACTTCATTTAACAACAATAAAGATTCAGAATGGTTGTGTCAAAAGGTGATGTGTGCCAACACTACTTTAAATGACAGAAAAACATAATTTTATTCAAAGAAAATGTTTCAATCTGAATCTGCCTTAGGCCTTATTAATATGAGCAGCTTGTTTCATTTGTTTCTTCCAGATTTGATTTTTGTATTTTGGTTTGTTTTACTTAGGTGCTTCCAATAAATTTTTTTAATTGCCTTTTCTTCAAATATAAGACTTCAGAGGGTCCGTGCTGTATGAAGACCACTGTTTCTTTCATGAAAATGCACATATTTAAGTAAATATTTTTAATTGCATAGTGCATGAATGTAAAGGAGTTGGTAGAATGTTGCTCCTGCTCTAAGAAACAGCATGTCTGATGTCTCCAAAAGTACATCTGCATCTGAAGTTGTGGTCATTGTTACATCTGAAGTCTGATTTTAACTAGAATTAACTTCAGGCATTAATTAATTACACTTGCATGTTCTCATGCTGAAGTATAGCAAGATTCTCAGGAATTTGGTTTTGTGTGTTTTCCTAGATGCCACATTTTTGGGAGTGATAATAGGATTATTGCATTTTCATTATTATCTCTAGCGTAGCTTTCATAAATTAAGACTAAATGTCACCATAACGTTTCTTTTGACTCAGTTAAATAGGATATAAAGATAATTTTGCTGTTTGTGGCTCTTTTCGGATTGACAGGGGAGGAAGGAGTGAGAAACTTTTTGTAATTCTTACCTAGTCAGAAATATACAGGGTTTTTTTCCCTGCAGAGATTGGACCCTCTTAGGATATCTGCATTATGGAAACAGTAGCGCTTGTCTTTCACACAGCTTAAAATCGAAAAAGGAATTATTCTACCTCCTCTCAGTCATTAACAGAAGTGCCTTCAGAAGTGGGTGCTATATAGGATTAAAAAGCTACTAATATTCTATTTTGGTTGAAGCTATAGAGTACACAGCTTAAGCTGACTGTAACCACTGATAACATGGTCAGTTCTGCAAGCTTTTGCACAATTCCAGCAGTGCACCTTACCTTGACAAACTTCATTTATTTTTGTTCATAGTCAGAAACTCAGTTCTGCCCTAGCAGAAATTATGACTTTGGATTTGACAGAATAAAGATCTTTGAGGCAAAATAATTTATCTAGCAAAGCACTTTGCTGAATTTCTGGTACAAAAGTAAAAATAATGTTTTATTCTCAAAATGAATTGAGGAAGAAATTTATCTTGTTCCTTAATATCAAGGTAAGGAAAAAAAAAAGGAAAACCTTCCTTTCTGTCAGTGGAAGACTCTAAACTCGTGGAAGGAAGATGTTCAGTCTCATCATAAAAATCTTTCATCTGCTCTTTTAGCAGCAGGATAAATAGTCTGAGATATTGCAATTCAAAATGTTATAAATTTAATACTCTGTATTTAACCCAGTCTTCATATGGTGGGAGTTAGAACCACCTTTAGAAGTGCAAAACATCAAGAAAACCTGTTTTTTCACCTTCAGCATTTACAAAGTACATCAGTAGGTGATAATCTTTTGGGTAAAATAGAGAACTATAGCAGTGGCCATAGTAAAAGATGAAGCTCAAGAGAAGCTCTTACAGAAGGCTAAGGAATAGTGGTTTTTAATGTCTGTGTAAAGCAAGAAGTGACAGAAAGTGAAAGAAGGGATCCTTTCGTCTATTTTTCGCTTTGCCCATATTTTTAACTGAATTGATAAAGTGACACTGAAAATTGACACAAAATTTCAAGCTTATTGTATGAAAGACAATCACATATAGATTTTTTTTAAATTGTGGTTTTTGTCTTTGCATTTACTTTTTCATCTGTATCAAAATTAAATTATCAAGTCCCCAGTGATATTGTTGCAATTCCTTTAACAGTTTTGCAGCAGACCACTGATTAGGATATGGTATTGTTCAGTTGGTGCAGAGGCAGCAATAGAATTCAGCTTCCCACAGCCAAATAGTGTCTGCAGGAGTAGCAGCAATAGAAAGTGGTATTGTTTTTCATTCACATTACTAGAGTGCCTGTGAGGCTTAATCAGACCAGTATCCCACTGGCTAGACATTGTACAAACAAAGAGCGACAACAAAGACTTCCCACAAAGTGGTTGGAATCCAAGATAAGACAAAAGACAAAAAAAAAATGCACATGAATGGAAAAGTAAAATGAGAGTGTCAATATTTGTCTAGCTGATTAGCAATGGCTTCAGCACATCATCAGTTTAAATAGCCATTTTTTTCTCCTGTATGCGTTATGACAAGGAAAAACTTTAGGATGGGGCTGGATAGTGAGGAACTGGAAGAATGTATATTCCTGACCAGCCTTATGTGCTGCCTAAACTGTTTCACTCTGACCTCTTTCAGGAGAATGTTCAAGCTTTAAGCCAGGTGTAGTTAGCTATTTGTTTAATAGTATCAGTCACCTGAGTTCTTTGGAGTCCTTTTCATACCTCCTGGCAGTGATTTCATCACTGTATTCACCTCTTCTCCAAAACAGGAGAGAATGGATACAGGTTTGTTTGAAAACTCCATAGAGAAACAATCAAAGGCAATGAGGACTCCAAGTGATTATGAGATCCTGAAAGAACTCTAAAGCAAAGACAAGGTAGATAGATGCATCTGAGGAAACAGTGAAGGGGTGTCAGTGAGGAAACTAAAAAGATGGCACAGTCAGAATACTGCCCTTGCAGTAGTATTTTGAATAAGAGCAGTGAAATTGCTTTGTCAAAGCCTGAGAAGACCAGGTTGCATTTAACAGGTGCAAGTGACAGCTTATCTGAGACTGTTCTGTGACTGGGCACAGATGTCTGTATCCTACAGAGAGTAACACCACATTTGGTAACTATCAGTGAAATTTAAAGTAGAGGACTTGGCAATCAGTCTCAGATAATGACCCTGATTTGGCCTACCTTAACAGACATGTTATGAAAGTGAAAAATAAGGAAAGATGTTTTACATGTATGAATGTATTAAAATTTTAAAAAGACTAGACCTCCAAAAGTGGTATCTGTGGGCATAATTACTTTTTTCCCACTTGGAAAGTTTGAGTCTAATCTGGACTGGAGAAGCAGCTCTGCAGGGTGTTTACATACAGTAATAGCTAAAATTGTATTTGTGGAGTAAGTCACCTACAGACATACTGCAGACAGAAAAGGGAAGGCCAGATGCTTGGAACTGTACAAGGAAGTGAGGAAGGGGGAAGTTCTTCCAAATAATCTATTAAAAATAAATTAGGGAAGCAAAGGAAATAAAATATGGAGGCAAAAGTCAAATGAGGATGAGAGGATTTAAGGAAAACTGCACCACTGGCTTCACTGAACATAGCCCACAAGGCAAAGGAGTATAAAGTACCAGTTTTGAGGTTGATTAGGAAAGTGTTCCTAGGGGCTATGGTCAAAATGAGAGATTGGCCCACAGAGTCAAAGGCAACAGACACCAGTTTGGTAGAGCCTGACAGAACTGCAGGAAGGAAACTGAGCCTAACCACTAAAAGAAAAACAACAGTTAGAAAATCAGATCAGTTAATAATATATTTTGGTTTGCTTTTTTCAATGCATGAGATTTTACCATGTTTATGTAGTGTAGCAAAAGAAATGCAGAGACTGAGACATACAGTGAAGATCAGAAGAGATAAGTAAGCATGAAATGAGATCAGCAGGCAGTCTGGACTGCTACAAGTGATCAGATAAGTGCATACAAAACCCAGACATCTGCTTTTGTGGTACAGGGTAATGGAAAGGGCACTTCATAAATGCTTAAGTTTTTCCTTTAGAAAAGCTCCCTCCAGAATCAAAGAATTATAGAAAATCATAGCAATACAGGAAAATGTAGGCGTGAACTGACCTCTAAAGGTCTGTTGTCCAACCTCCTACTAAAAGTAGGGGTAACTTCAAAGTTAGATGGGTTCTTAGGGCCTCATCAGCATCCATAGCATATAAAATAATAATAAAGTCAGCAGGCAGAAACACAGTGCTCATGGGAAACAGATATTTGAGATTAAACTATTCTCATTATAATAAAACTACTTTGTGTGTCATTAGAAAATAATTGAGTACAAGAAATAATTGACTACTGCTAGCTTGCAATATTTGTAAATTCTGGATGATACATTACTGAAGTGTACGTGTTTAATAATTTTATTCTATACTTTTAAGGTTTTACATTATTTCGAAATTATACTCAATTTTTGAGCTAGCAATTTTTATTATTTTTTCAGAAGAACTAGGGCTAGAGAAATTCCTATGTTTCTCACAAAGACTGTCCCCTAGGCTGTGTTCCCCTGGCATTGTCTATCAGTTTGTTTCAGGGAATATGTTAAAAAAAAATCACATACCTGTTCTAGGTACATGCTGTAGGACACTATATATATTTCAATATATATTATTGCCATCTGGAAAATAATAAGTAGCATGCTCATTCTACTTTGCTCCAGAAAACCTAAACCTTTGCATGAAGGAATTAAAAACTGCTCTTATGTTGTTCATCTGTTGCTGAGAACCAAGATATTTAGGAATTCATTATTTTGCTTTCACTAATGTCAAAAAAATCCTCTCGTTGACCTCAGCTGAGTGAGGTTCAGGGCTTGTCTATATTAATGCATGTACTAGAAATGCTATTTTTCCAATATATATATTTCATAGTTTTCTAGTTTTATTTTACTAATAACATTGTACAATTGTAGGTATGACAAATTACAGCTAGAAAGACTTCAATTTAGGAGTCATAATTGTATGCATTCTGTTAATATTTCATGACTGGGGTGATTTAACATTTGTACATTGATGGATGACATTCTTGCCAGAACTACATAGGAACTGAGGACAAAAGATAAAATTAGAAGTATTGCAGCTTTATTACAACAGATGATTCTGTGGAAATGGGCTTTTAGATCTGAAATCAAATATAATTAGAAGCTTTCAGCTCTTGCAGAAAATCCATACTGATTTTCATCTTTCTCTCTTGAACAAAAGCTATATGTGTTTCTTTAAATAAGATTTAATGTTCAACATTAGAGAAATGACAACTCAAATGTCTTTTTTAGCTAATTTAAAACTTCGCTTCTTCCTATTGACAACTACTGTGTGTTTAAATAAACTAAACCTGTAACAGAGAAAAGTGATTTATCTAAAAACTGGATATCAACTGGGGAAAAACAGTGATTTTGGTAATTTCTTTGGGTTTTTTACATTTGGTAACTAAAACCAGAAGAAGCTATACAGAGCAGGCGTGCATACACACCTATTTCTTGCATTTGACCTTCCTTTCATACTTCTCTTTGCAATCTGCACTGTACATTCCATTAAGCCACAGTTCTGCAAATACAGAAGTGAATCCACAGCCACATCTGCAGATTAGCTTTTAGTTTAACATTCTCTTTTCAGAGAGGGTAATGGAGCTGACACTGGGGGCAGGCACTGTGCATACTTGTGTTTTTATACAGTACTCAACTTAATGAGGTTCTAATCCTGATGAACCATCTAGATGCAGTTAAAGTATGAAATAATTATTAATGGAATTCCATTAAATTCCTTCCTTGTTCTCCTTAAATGATTGCTCAGAAGATCGTCCAGTTAGAGAAATCAAAGTCCTAAGAACCTAACTTTTTGCATTACATGCAACAGAAGTTCTGTTTTGCACTGTAAAATATGAATACATGTCTTCAATAACTCAAGCCTCAATATCTGGAGGGGCTGACTATAACTCAGTAATTAGATACATTTAACAAGGACACCGATGGTTAAAATAGGGTTTGTATACTTAGCGATCATGACTATTAACTGGACTAGAGTGTGTATTCTGGTGCACCTGAACAGAGGGACACCTGCACAAAATTGGCACTCAGTCTAATTATCCAGGGTCCATCATACTTCGTATTTATGCACCCAAGTGACAGTGACTACTCTTTCTCAGCTCCTACTGAAGTTAGTGGTATCAGATGCACATTTATAAAGATCACATTATTTATGTGTCTGGACAGAAAGACTAGCTATTGGAGTAAAAATTTTGGCACATGTACCTTAAATGTATAAAACATTTTTGAAACTGATCTCACCAACTTATTTTAACCTACAATATCCTCACCTATGCAATCCTTAAAGTAGGAATTCTTGCCATTTTCTTACAGTTGTGCTTAATTAAATAATTTTCATTCTTCACTCTTTTTAATAACCCTCTTTTGAGTGTGGCATGACATCCTGCCAGTAGAGTTATCATCAGTGTGCTTAAGATCAATACAGATAGGACAAACTCTGTGTACATGCCAGATTCAGTGTAGGTAGTGAAAAAGCTTTTTGTGACTTTCATAAATTGCAATATCCACAAACAAGAGATCCACCTCTAAGTCAAACTTCCTGCCTACGACAAAATCTCCTCCTGTATCTGTAGAGAAAAAACCCTTCAATCTCTATTTTCTGGATTGTCATGTTCTAGCAAGCAAGATTAATCTATGTATAATGGGATGCAGATAAAGAAAGTCTCTACCTGTAGTCCATGGCTTTATGGTCCTGGAATATTTTGACCTCTCAGTCCTGTGGAGGGAAGGGGAGGGTGTTAAGCTCTCAAACCGAATGCTTGCATGTTTCCCACCCGCTTGCTTTCCACACCTAGGTAACGAGCTGGGGCCTAAGTAATCCTATTTTGAGAAAATATTTCTTGTCAACATAGTGTTCTGTTTCAGGAATATCTGTATGGTTGCATAGCCCCACAACCCTTCTTCCCCATGCTACATACTGAAGGTTCTTAATTGATTTCTGTATGACAGAAAATAATAAATCCTTCATGTAAGTTAACTGAGTTACTGAGTCACTGTACTTCATTTAACCTGTGGACTGCAGATATTAATTTTTATTTGTGCTCTGTAAATGGCAAAAAAAAAGTTACTTTCCTTTTTAATGTGTAGTAAACCTTCACTCCTTTTTCTCCTTTAAAGGAAAACATTGATTTTTCTTTGATTGTGTCATCAGAGAACAGGACAGTTGATATGTGTCTCAAGATCAACAATCAGTTTTCATATAAAAATACATAGAGAGGAAATACCTATGTAACAGTCCCACAAAATCAAACAATGCAGCTGATGTAGCACTTACAGGATATGGGCCAGGAAAGCACAAACACTAATTTGATTATAGATTTTTGCCTTGTCATAAATTAGTTATTCATTCATATGCTTATGCCATTATCTTCATTATAGGGGAGTTCTAGTCACAAGATCTTTCTATTCTTGCCTAAGTGGGGTTCTGTAGTCTGCTTCCAGGAAATATTTGATATGCTGCCAAACTCAGCCCTGTTCGTTCTCCCTCCTGCAACTTCACCTGTAAGTGAAATGCACTACATAGTTATGTGGGAAAGAAATGCTTCTGAGATTTAAAGCTACGACTAGCCAAATGTCAGAAACTGTCCCAGCAGAGATAACTTCAGCTCATCAGACAGCTTTCCTCAGAAGCCCCTTTTGGGAAAGGGAACTACTGTGGAGAAGAATGCTCTGAAGGACACACGATTCAGAAAAATCTATTTTCTTTGAGTCCGAGCTCTACTTAATTAGTATTCTGACATTCAGGCTCAATAAAAGAGAAAGCCAAGTCATAAAATACTCAAATGGTCTTGCAGAACAGACTTCTACCAGATTTGTCCCTTGGGCAGAGTCCCAGGGGCTCAGCATGTCCCACTGCATCGGACTTGTACAGGGAACATTAGGCCAGGGCAGCTCTCACACAGGACAGAATGTGGGGTCCAGGGTCCGTTCTGCTCAGAACAAGCCCTATTTTTATTTCAAAAACCAGCTACTGTCAAATATAAATGACAAGCAGAAATAATTTCTGGTATAAATATTTGCCAATTGTAATTCAGACACATAATTTACACAAGTAAATGTATAACAACTGAAGTCAAAATACTGATTGGAAGCATTTTCTGTTAAGATCTGGGTTTCTCTCATTGTCCCACACTTATCCATCATTGTAATTTGATGCTTCTCGAATGATATTGTGAGTCTGGGAGTGTCAAACTTCACACACAGTAAGGGACAGAAGGTACTTATCAGGAGCCTAAATCCAGTATTTGTATTTCTTTGTAATTACATTTTTAAAAAGACTAAAATGAGGTTCATTTCGTCTATTTTAAAATGTCTTAAAAATTTATTAAAAAGAAAAAGCTTTTACTAAAATATCTGATTATTGGCAAAAATACCCATTTCAGAAGATAGTATGAGAAGCTAAACTCGTGCCTGGCTAAAGAGCAGAGCTGGGTGCCAGTGCTTTTAATGGTTCAGCATCCCAGCTCTTCTTGACCATGTGGAAGTGTTATTTCCTCTTACATGATTAAGAAAGAACACACCCAGTATTTCTTTTTCACTGAAAGCGGTGCCGTCCTGTGAAACTTCTGTGTTTATTTTACTTCTATAGACAACAGCACTCGCCCACTACTCACGTTCCACCGAGCCGCGGGTTGGGCGCCGCGGGCTCCAGGGCGGGAAGGGCCCGGCTGAGGGGAAAGGGCCCGGCTGAGGGGAAAGGGCCCGGCTGAGGGGAAAGGGCCCGGCGGAGGGGAAAGGGCCCGGCTGAGGGGAAAGGGCCCGGCTGAGGGGAAAGGGCCCGGCTGAAGGAAAGGCTCCGGCTGAGGGGAAAGGGCCCGGCTGAGGGGAAGGCTCCGGCTGAGGCCGGCGCAGGGGCTGAGGGAACCTCCAGGCCGCCCCTCGCTCCTGCCGGCGCTCCGCTGCTTTTTAATCAGCTCCTTAACGTGTCCGCGTGCTTCAAGCATCTCACCTCGGTAACCGGCAGGAATATTTGTCGTCTCTCTTTTCCCAGTCTGTTAAACCACTGAAAAAAAAAAAAAATGACAGAGACTTGTGGGCAGGAGCAGACAAGGTGGATAACGACGGTCATTATGAGCACAGCTCTGCAGGTAGGATACCCCTTGTCAAGGCCAGCATCTGACTCACTAGGAAAGGCTGAAAGAATTTCCTATATTCTGCATATGGAAATATTTTATTCAGTGTCAATTAATACATTTTTTTCTGGATAAACCGGATATTAGTCTGAAGCTGCTTCTATTAAAATACTGGTTATTTTTGTGTCCAACTGTATTTTCTCCTAGCTACTTCCATATGTTTGGTATTCTTGCCACCTGCTAGTCTGAGTTACACTGCTTTAGGATATTCTCCTGGCTCATCGTTTTTGCACTGCACTGATGCCTCTTTCAGTTTGCACTATAAATAATTCCATCAGAAATTGTGCTGAATTTTCTGAATTTCTCCCTAAATACTTTGATTATATCCTATACAGTATCAACATGGGGGTAGACAATTACTCTGTAAGTACAAAACTCAGTTTAAAATACTCAGTCTTACAGTTACTAATATATATTTTTATCTGTTAATATCAGAAGCCTTGACACGATCCCAAGTAAAACAAAAGGGTACGTCAAGGAGCAGGTAATTAGCTTCTGCAGCTGAGGCCAATTTCATGCCAGCTGGCAAGAATTTAGAGGCAAGAGAGCTTTGATTCACAAGCAAGGATGTCTTATGCTAGCTTGGCTGACAAGGTTATAACCCCATCTCCACTGTGTAAATGGGTGGGCCACATTGAAGTAATTTCTGAATTGTCTCAGTTTACAGCCTCTACTTACTTGCCTGCTCATTTTAGAATTTACAGGCTGTAAATTGTGCACATTTGTGCCATAATATGGTGGAAGGTAATGGATGGTAGTGAATTTCATCAGCTGTACCTGGATAACTCACTCCTACCCCCAGCTCTGTTCAAAACTACTGCTCTTAGTAAGACTTCCTCATAAGCAAAGCAATGGAGGTAATTGAATACAGATCCAAGATGGCTTTTTGTCACAGCACATGTCACAGCTGAGACAGCCACAACACATGGAGTATCACCATACCATTTCAGAAACCTTTAAGCATTCACGCAAACAGAGCAACACCGTACCACATCAGAAGGCTTCCGGTGTCTGCCCATACAGAGCAACGTTACTTCAGAAGGCTGTAAGCTCTGTCCTTCTTGTTCTTTGTCCCAGCCTTTTATACCCCTCATGTTGATGCATTGCACCCGTGTGCCCTCTGGTCCCTTTGGTGGTTGGTCAGTGCACCTGGGCACTCCAGGTCTCATTGCTTTCAATGCTGGTCACCTGCTTCTCACAGCTGTGCCCACTGGGGATGAGGCTTGGCCCAGCCCCACTCCCAATTATCACAAACTGTGTACTTAAAGCTTTTCTGTATCAGTTTTGGTTATGAGCTATTATTTTCATGTAGATGTTATTTATATTTGTACATTAAATAATTCAGCAGTGGCTTTGAAGCTGAGATTATTTTTTTTTTTGCAAAATGTAGCTAAACCTTACAAGCAGTTGCCACTGAGTGTACCCTTTCCAGACCAACTGAAAGCGTGACATTTCTGGTTAATGTCTCCTTCAAGGTTCACTTGCAATCCAGATTTTCTGTTGTACTCTTCCACTAAATCATGTCACTTCCCTGTGTAAGCAGGCTGGCTGTGTTTTGGATGGGTAGGTGAAAGAACATGTTATTAGCTAAAATGTCTCAGTGATTTAACCTTTACTGTATGTGTGTTCGTGCAGCTTCTGTGGAACATACTGCAGAAATGCTTTTTGCAGGCTAAAAAATACATCCAAACACATTCCATTCTGTAGATGATTATGCTGCATAGTGCAGTGTTCTAGTTTTCCTGTGTGGATTGCAGTCTGTCAAAAAGCTTTAAAGAAAATCATGTCCCATACAGAATTTCTGAATGATTTTCCAGCTGAGATGCTAACATCTGTGAAAATAATGCAGCCTAATTAACCAGAGTCATAGAAACACACTATATGATCCTCAGTTATGCAAATCCTCTTTTAGCACATCTTTCCAAAACAGAATGTAAAATGTTTGACCTTCTTTATGCATTATGCAAGAGTTTCCTAAGACAAACTGAACATACACATACAGAATTGTTATTCAGTGTTTGTAACTTCCAATCAAATGCTATAAAATTGATCAGGTTTAACATTCTAGTACTTTTTAAATTTTTAAGTGGGATGAAAAATACTTTTTCAACAACAGTGCCAAAGGTCTATCTACAGTGGTGTAGCTGATGCTTTAAGAATATTTCTAACCTGTTGGCTGAAAACTTTTCAAAATAACATTTTAAAATTTATTTAGGATCATGAAATTTCTACAGTTCTGCAGACGCAGCAACACCGAGTTCGATATTCAGAATCAGTGGAAACTGGATCTGTGATTTTTCCTCTTTCTGGTACAGTACTTTAAAGTTTATGCTTTTAAATAATAAAATTCAAAGAAGTACAGAGTCAGGCCAGTCATTGAATTGTGGGCTACACTAAACTGAATAAAATCTACCTTGTTGGGATGTTGTGCAGTAGTGTGCAGTAGTGTGTAAATCAGAGGATGAAACAGATAATGTTGGGGATTAAACACTTTACTTTTTTTTTTTTTTTTTTTTTTTTTTTTTTTTTTTTTGGACATATAGAACATCTACATGAGATTTGGTGATCATCAGCTGAACTGCTTAGTAAATTTGTGTTATAACTGAGCAAACATGCTAAATGCCACTAACATGTAAACTGCCATCAAGATCTTTAGTATACATGACTGTAAATGTAAGAGTAAACCAACACCTTTGGCTTTCAACTTCCAAGTTGAATTTGCACAGCTGGTGGTAGCAGAGGAGGTGAGGAAAGGATTGAGTGGATTTGATTAGGAAATCACTTCAACTGTAAACATGAAATAGCCGTTTTCCCTTTTTAGAACAGAAGATGTTCTAGACACCTAGATGAGATATTTCCCTTTTCCTGAACTTTAATGACTAGCACATGTTGAGATAGCTCAGGTGTTAACCCTCCTAAACTCAGCCTTCTTTACTTTCCCTTTCAGAACAACTTAAGCTGACAGAGCTTTAAGTTCATTTTTCATGGGAGACAGTTTAGCTAACTTTTAAGATTTTACAACTGTTTATTTAATTTAGAAACAGGCCTTCCTGAGCTTTTCAGTCAGCCTTTGTATTTGCCCCAGATTCATTCCATTATAGCAGTTGCTTGCTCCTGAAGCATGTGCTTTCAAAGGCATTCAATGTGTCTATTTTCAGAAGATGGAATAGCTGGTGGGTTTTTGATGTCGTGGTAGAAAAATAACCTGAGATATTTGTAGCCTTATCTTAAAACTATTAGTCATCACTGGCCAAATCTCCCTGTCAGAGATGTGGAAATTCATTCATGCTCTGTTCTATTGTGTTGCAAACTAATGGTTGCTTTAAGAATTGTGCTTCCTGGTTTGTGGTGAGAAGTTACACTGACAGCAGTTTCCTCAATAGGCATTGCATTTATGCTGCTAGACACTCAAGACTTCCTTATGACAGGGGAAGAAGAGTTTTCCAAAAGAATTCAGAAGTTCATAAACATCCATCGGAACAGCTTTCTGGTTTTGTCAGCTGCTCTTCATGGACCAGAAGAATGGAGTGTCATGTTCAGGATTCAGAGAAGGTATGATTTCAACATCAAACTGAACTTTATATTGCTAGGAAGAAATGAAATAGCAGTCTTGGATTTGGAAATACTATTTTAGGAATAAACAGGACAAAAGGCAATGGACAGAAACTGATGCACAGGAAGTTCCACCTGAACACGAGGAAGAAGTCCTTTACTCTGAGGGTGACTGAGCACTGCAACAGATTGCCCAGTGGAGTCTCCCTCACTGGAGATATTCCAACCATCTGGATGCAATCCTGTGCAGTGTGCTCTGGGATGACCCTGCTTAAGTAGGGAGTTGACACACTGTGGTTCTTTCCAGTCTTACCCTTTGTGAATTATTTCAGGAATACACAAATTTTATTTTACTAATGGACTGTAAAGAATTATTTACAGGTTTTGTTTATTAATAGCAAATAAAAAGAATATCAACTGAATCAATCTGACATATCACAGGTAACAAAAGAGGATGTTCCTCAAAACATAGCAAATAAGATTCCTTTCAATCATTTTACAACTATTTAATATAATTATTTTAAAATTTTTCTCTTGAATTGAAAAATTAGAAACTTTCTTAGCTCTATAATCATATTTTCATTGTCATTTTCAAAACAGAGCAGGTAAGTTTATGTCATGAGAAAAAGCTTTATTGTAAAGTACAGATTTTTTACCAGCTTATAGAATGTTTACTTGGAACAGCATCTGTTACCCTGTGCTACAACAATTAAATAATCAATGTTATTTTACACTAAAAGTATAAAACTATATTAAAATTGGTTTGTTTAAAAATTTTATCTCTGATTTCTAATGAAGTCTGAAAACTTGCATATTTTAGTACAGACCAGCTGACAACAAGGATCAGACTTCCTCTATGCTTGTTGTCAGAACTATTTTCTTGTAGGTACAGTAGCCCTAACTGCAGTTGATTGTCACTCTTGGCCTCAAAAAAGCAGCTATGCTAATGAAGTCTTTGATCTCTACCTCCTTAAGTAACTAGCACCAGTTCCATTAAATCCTGGGCATACTGCCAAATGCTGATGAATAAAGAATGTATGAGATTCAATGTAAGAAATCTATTATCTGTTTGTGAAAATGTTGTAAATTTTCATGAGAGGTTTTAAAAGTTCAGCCACCACTCAGCAAGACCACGTTATTCAGGTGATGGCAATGCTAATTCTCAATCTACTTTGTGGTTTGAACAATGGGTTTTGTACACATGCTGATCACTAAAATGTGATGGTTTGTAACTGTATTCCATTTGGCAAGTCAGTTTTATTAAACTAATTTTTTTTCATTGATGTTGACAAGGAACAATTATATATATAAATATAAATATATATATTTAAATGCATGTGCTTTTTTTACTACCTGGCAGCTTGAAGTTCTGCTACTGTTTTTAAATCACTGACTGAGCTTGTACTGGTGGGGTTGAAACTTGTGCCATGTTCTTTGGAACTACAAGCCACTTGATGGATTTGTTAAAAAACAAACCCCCTTAGTATAGTCAGGTTGTCCTCTATTACTGCTTCTTTCTGCTTATCTATGGTTTTGCTGCAGCTGGGGAAGTGTTATTTTTTATTAACAAGAAAATTACAGGATTCTTGTTAACAACATGAACACTTTATGTAGAGTTGTGTATAGCATGGGGGAAGTGGGAGAAAAGTAATGTTTATCATCACAGCTTAAATAAGCATTTCACAAATAACCTTAGTACATCTGTATGCTAAGTTTTAAATACCTTGGAGGAAAGGCCAGACGTGTTCAAATGGCCGGTATTCTGTTCACACAACACCTAAATTTAGACCTGCTGTTATTGGAAGCAAAACTGTTTATATAGATTTTCTTGGATCTAGGTAAGTACATGTAATTGTTTCTTTGTTACATTAGTTCATTCATGCTGTTTAGCCCATTCTAGTATGAGCAAAATTGCATCAATGTATTTCCCTAATCTCAAAATATAAATCCAACCCTTGTTCCTACATCACATTTTAGCAAAACTCACCAGGGACCCGAGTGCCTATGCTTAGAGGACAATTCCTGTAACATTTATTTTTGCTAATTAGAAGCAAGGGCAGACAAGTTCAGATGAGCTACCTTACCAGCAGGAGGGCTTAATGTGAATGACTCCAAGTCATCAGACAGATTGCAGGGAAGAACAGGTGGCAGGCACAAGGGGAGGTCACAGGGGACTATGCAACTGAGCAGCTGGGCACTTCATCTGCATTATTTAAATTCATTTTGGTTTTTTAAAATTCCTCATTCTTTTTTGTGAAGTCCTTCTCCTGATTTAGCTCTGTGACAGAAAGCAGCAAATGTAACGTCATTGTCACAACACAAAGTGCAGTTCTTAGGGAGAGGCTCTGTGCTTGCCTAAGATTTGATGTCTCTCCTCCACAATCTCACTGAAAAACAACTCATGCTACTATTTTAAATCTTTTGATCCCCTTCTCAAGAATGAATGCATATTAATAACACTATTTATAGAAATAATTAATTTTAGGTTAAAGTATTGAGTGAACAAGTCTTTATATGAAAGTAGTGGAATTATCCCATTATTTTAATCGTGTCTGGAATACAGGTTGTTTTATTTATAGTACACTACAAAGATTTCATTCAAATTCTGAAGTAGTTTTAGCAGTGTTTTTAGATACTTTGCTGTGTTCTGCCACAGCTATAAAAACAACCCAAATATTTTTTACTGCCACTGAGAAGAGCCTTCAGCAATATCACAGAAGAGGGTTTAGCTCTCTTTGAATGTACACATGCTTAAGAAGTGCTGATTGATTGTTGAAGAGACCTAAATAAAGAAATGAGCCCTTCCAAATCCCACCTAAATAAGTGGTACAGAAATGGGACAGATGGCTTTACAAACAGCATGAATGCTGCACTTGCCTTTCAGAGTAAAAGCAGCCTTCCCTGTAAGTAAAACTGCACACGAAAAAGCTGTTTACTTCATGTGGGAATGCTGTTTGTGTTTTATGGCATGACAAATTAAATACATATCCTAGAAGTAACATTTTTTTTTGATGTGCAGATTCCTGGGCAGCAATTTACGTGTAATACCAGTTCATAATCCTGCTGAAACTGTTAAATTAATGTTAACTATGGCTAAGGTAAGTTCACTTGCATACACTTAAAACCATTAGTGTATTACTCAGGAAAGGCCAAGAACTATAAAATACTTGGTTTTCCTTAATGGAACTTTTGAGGTTATACTGACCACACCATTAATACACTAAGGTAGGACTCGTGCTCTGATGCATTAGCTGAGTCTTTAAACTACTGCTAAAGGTAACTTAATAGATCTTAATAGCATCTAAGAAAAGAAATTAGATATCTAAGAGCTTGTTTGGCACCTATTTACCATTGTTAAGTTGGGATGTCTTCACTTACTGTTAACTCCTGTTGAAATACTATCACCTGTGTACAACATTCCTGAACACCTACTTGAGAACACATGATTCAAATTTCACTGCTAAATAATTTTGCATTATTGCATTTCCATTATTGGAAAAATAAATGTTGAATATTCTATTACTTGAAAGTCACTGTATTCTAGTCATATTATTTTTCTTTTCTCTAAGGTAACTTCCAAGCCACAGGCAAATGATACTCGTTGCAAAATAGAAATGACAAAAGCCCAAATAATAGAGAAAAGTCCAGTTTGGAAAACGCTTCAGGAGTACCAGTTGCACTGTAATTAACTTAATATTTGGTTTTTTATTTATAAATAGTGGCTACATTTTAAACAAAATATAGAATGTTCCTAAAAATATAGTTACATTTCAAAAGACTACATACAACATATGTATTTGGCATGAAAATTTGTATTAAGTAGCTATACAGGGAAAAATATCATACTTGATACCAAATGTGCTTTCCAGGGAGGGAAAAATGTGTTTTAGCTGTACTATAGGAAAGTCATCCTTATTTTTAACTTGGTTCTGACCTTAGAGGCTCATCTGTTTATTAATAATTCCCAAAAAAATTTACCATATCTTAAGGAAAGCTGTACAATTAAAGATAAGGATGATCAAAACAATTCAAAAATACAGGTATCCTTAAAAACAGCAGCTGTACGTATGCAACCTTACACTGTTTTTTAAATGTGTTACCTGTTATGTTACTAAACTCTAACATCTCATTTGGCTCAAAGTTGATGTGTTTTTCTTTAAAGCTGGTTTCCTTTGCCACAGTGTTTTTACTATCTATAGATAGTATATTCTGTAGTGTTAGCTATCCGTACCTTACAGTCCTGTTTGCAAATAGAGAAGCTTGTTTGTCAACATGAAAATGTGCTAATAAAAATATCTTTTGCTTAAACAGGGCTTTTTAATTAATGGTTCTTCAATCACTTGATAAAAATTGTTGTAATTCACAACACCAATGAGCAACTATTACCCAACAAACACTGAAAGTTAAAAAAAAAATAAATGCCTAACCATACCTCCTTGCCACAGAGAAGAAACACCTGGGGGTTTTTTAGTTTCTGAACTTTAGAAAAAGCATCAAATTCTGAAGAGGAGTAAACAGACCATATCTGCAAATCACATGCAACAAGAGCAAAAGTAAATAAAAAAGAACAGCAACAAGACTTTATGAAGAGCAGCATTTGCAGTTCTTCTGGAGGCCACTCTAAATTGCTCTTCTTTAAAGGGCCATAGCCTTCCTTGCAACTGAAGTCTCATAGTCCAAATGATCTTGTCAGGAATATGTTAATTCAAACACTTCAGCTGCCTTAACTGTTTTCATCCATTACAGCTTTTGTTTTCACTTCTATGAGTTCTTCTACCCGAGCTAGAACACTTTCTATTAAGTCAAATGTGAAAAGAGCTGAGTGTAAAACCTGAAATGACAGGAAAGATTAGTGTTATTTTCATTGGATATTTTTTACCCATTTTACATTTACTTGTTTCCACATTGGGAAAAAAAAAATGTCAGTACTTCTAAGTGACTGAAGTGCAAACTCACTTGAAGCTGCATTCCAGTAGTCATGGCAGGCATCTTTTCCCCACTAACAGTAACAGAGCAAACTGTGTTAGAACTTTGTGCCTCTGTAGAAAAAAAACGTGAAGAAACCAACATGACCCTCAGAATTAAAAGAATATTTAAAATATCAGCGTTTCATGACAGTAATTGTTAAGAACAGAAATCTAGGGATTGACAAAACACGACGGAGGCTGCTGAACCTTAAGAGGAAGACAGAGTTGGATGATACCTTTATATAACACAAATGCCTACATTAATAAACAGGCAAGATCTGCAATTGGAACTAATTTTATAGAGCTCACATGCTCTTTTAAAGGAAAAATAAAATGTTATCTGGCCCAGTTTTGATACATTTTTAGTATTTCCACATCCAGGGAGATAGGAGGAGTTTCTTTAGCTTGACTTAATGAATCCAGACATTAAATACTTATTTTATCAAGAAAAGGCTGCAGGCTTTTCTGTTTCAGACAGATTACTTGCAGCAGGCTAAACTGCAAGGACAGTCTGATAAATAAGGGGAAAACCTCTTACATTCAGACCACGTATTTGAAATTCAATGTAATGCTTACAAAGATTAAACGCAAAGGACAAAAGCTAAACCATTTACTGTTAGAAGTTAGATGTTCTTTCCCAAACTCAGATTTCTTAATACTTCGTAATAATAGGGACTTAAGAAAAAGCTTCCTGATTAATTTTGAAGGATTCCCTTTAGAGGCCCCACAGGTTGTCTTGAGAAAAAGTCCCCTTCCTTGCCTCATAAGTACATAGTTCGCAACAGAAGAGGATAAGACTAGGGGCAAAAAGTTGTATTGACATTTTTAGTAGCAGACACAAATTCCTTGGGCTATCTTAATTATACTGGAGACCACAAGGAACAGAGGATCTGACATACAGAGAGATTGCCTAAAGCAGCTACAGCTCTTGTTCCCTTTGCAATGTGTCTGCTTAACCCAGAGCAGAATCTGATTCTGTGTGTCAGATTAAAAAAATATAATGTACTTTAAAAAATGAATGTAATGCTTCAGGCTTTAGAGAGCACTGTGACTTATTTCTTCTCTTGTTAACTCTCCTACACCTGGTATGAAATCTCAGGGTTATGTATTCAGAGAACCTTAATTTCTCCTTTGTAACACTAAAATCAAAAGTATAAATGCAGAACAAGTTCTGAAGGTCTTCATGTGACTATTCTATCAGTTTTCCATAAGATTTACAAGTGTGATGACAGATAAGTTCAGATTTTTCTGACCAGTTATGAAATTTTTAATACAGCAACTACTGCATTATTATTTTAAACTAGGAATAGTGGCAACAGTTAAATAAAAGCTGATCTATGCAGCATTCACCAGTTCCTCATTTCCAAAGGATTACCAAAGTTTCTAGATATGAACAAAGCTAAGAATAAAAAAAAACAACAAAAACTGACCTTTTCTGTTTTCTTTCTTATTTTTAATTTCTGCTTCATAATGTGCTTTTGACATATTGAGTCCTACACGCAGCGGCTTTAAGAAATTCTGCTCTATCTTGCCAAGTGTGGTCCATACACCAGTCTAGTCAAACAGAACAGAGATGGTTACAAAACAGTTTCAATGAAGCATTGCAATACTAAGCTTTTGAGCACAGGTTTTTTGACTAGTCTTTATAACATACACTTCTGTGGTGGGAGGAAAAGAGAAAAAAATAATTCAGAGTCATGCATTTAAGTATGAACAGCATTGTGATGGATATTTCAGCTCCTCTTCCTTTACCCTACATTATTTGTTGATTGGCCAATGAAGCAGTCAAAAAAAAAAGGGATGAAGAGGGAGGGAGGACATAGGCTGCTAACTGCAGCAAGTAAATGGCAGTTGTAGGCTCCTCTAAGATAATTCAGCAGTAAAACAGAACAAATATTTAAATTAACATTCCTGAATAACACTGAATTGTGATACCAAATGAAAGTTGTGATAAATATCATGCTTCCCAATTGTCTAGACTGCATTTTAAAAGCATTGTAGGAATGTTACTGGATATGGATATGCTACTCTCCCATCCTTCAGCACAGTAGCCACAGTGACAACAAAATCCCCCCCATCTGGACATGGGCAGAAAGAAGGACTTTACAGTAATGGTGTGCAGGAAGCAAGAGGTGCAAGGAAAAGATGCTCAAAACCAAGGCTGTTCAGGCTTACAGAAAGAAAATAAACTTGGCTTTGCTACAAGCTGCTATAGAAGGAAACAAATACACGGCAGCCTTTGTGTCTTTGGATACAGGAGTCATTTATACAACTCCTTTCTTCAGGCAGTATCCTCAAAGGGCAGAATAAGGACAATAAAAATAAGAATTTTCAATTTTAAATACAGTGAATCCACTGTGGATTGTGGAAAATTTCACCAAATTTTAATACTAGATGATACAGTTAACAGTTCAAAAAAGAACGGTAATGACTTCCACCAGAATGTGGCTTTAAAAATGAACTTTCTAGAAAAATACTTATTTTTAAACTTGATAATGAAAATGCTTGTTACACAGCAATCAAAATATCTGAACTGACATGGAAGGAGGCATTTTCTTTCTGCCTCACTTGCACTGTATGAAGAGAGACAGGGAAGAAGTCAAGAAGAACTGACAGAGGCTAAATTAAAGGGAAAATCTTCAGAAGATGTGATGCTATTTTTTCCTCAAACTGTATGGACATTCTTTTTGCCAGGTACTAGACAGCACTGTTAGAGCAGCCGAGAGCTACTACATGTAGTTTTTTATTAATAATAAAAGAGGAATTTTTACTTTTCTTACAAAGCTATGTATTTACATTTAACTGAGGAGACCATTATGAGTACTTAAATAGCAATCACCCCTTAAATATGACAAAGAGATACAGTCTACCACTATTAACTAATTACATAAACAGTAAATTAGAAATGCACCCACTGAAAGCTATTTTTGCTTTTCATTTTCATTACTGTTTCGGCAATCAATACTGGTTATTTTACTGTTATTCTAATCAGATTAGTAACATTATTGGGCACTTAGAAAATTTACTCCTAGATCTCAAATTAGTCTAAAAGTAGATCCAGTTTTTTTTCTGTACTTTAGAAACCAGAAAATGATATTATTATATTATTATTGCTATAAAGATGTCCAGTTGGTGGTTTGAGGGATACTGGCAAATAAATAAGCAAAAATAATTTTTTTTGGTGTGGGAATACTTGTTGGGTATGTGATTTTCTGGTGACATACTCTATGGTTATGGAGATAGATCACATTTCAACAGGCAGAGTAAGAAGATTAGTTTGTTTATAGAAACAGTATATATGCAAACAATTTTATCAAAACAAAGGAACATATCACATTTTTCCTAATGTCTTAATAGAAGCATCACTTCTGGGGAACAAACCATTGCAAAGAAAAATGCAAAACCCACGTGTTTTGAATGGATAACAGTGTTCATGTGACTCCACCTCTCAATTAATCAATAATTTTCAAATCAAACAGTACATACTTGATTGTCACTTTCACAATCCTTAATGACTAAGTATCTCAGCAGATTCAGTGATGCCATAATCCTGTGAATTACAAACATACAGATACCTATTACCAGGATCATAATTTTAATTGTCCATTAGCCAGACATGCTAGAGTAGATGCTGGAGTATCCATTTGTACAAAAAGCAACAACCCATCTGTTGAGCTGTACAGCTCCACCTAGAGCACCAGAGTGTAGTGATGCCATACAACAATTCACACTTTGCAAGCAAAACTGAAACTTTTCAGATTGCAGAAGGCTGGTGATTGTGAGGGAAAGAGTCCCCTCCAGAGACAGAACCTTATCACAGAATTTATAATATGTATCACTGGTGGTCCAAAGTTGATTTGAAACTAGTGTGACAATTTTCTTTATTACTGTACTGAATTTTTACTTTGAGCGTGCTTTTTAAATTTTTTTTTTTTTGCTTTTGTTTTACCATACTTTTGAGCAGAGATTATTAATTTTTTTTTCCAGACACCAAGTACAGTTAACCATCATACTTCTGGGTTTTTTTAAGCCGTATGTGTCCATCTGGACATTATCTCCCCACTGATTTACAAGCCCAAGCATCATCATATTACTTATACAGGAAGACCTACCCTATATACACAAGATATTTTTCAGACACATTTAAGTTTTTTTTGTTTTTTTTAAATTATTGTTAAATTAAAACAGCAATTAGTTATTGTTCAGGTGGATCTGCAATCCTACCCATGAGATAATCTGTGAAACTGCCTCAAAGATGCCTTGCATCGTAGGTTGCATCTAATTATTATTCCCCTGTATCATATTAGACCCACACCACATTGCTTTTATTCCTTCAACTGCTTCTACAGAGAGCTGACAAACCATACATTCCTGAGGAAACAATGCTTTATCCATTAGTTACACAATTTCATATCTGAATTCTTACATCCCTGGGGAATGGAGGAGGACATCCTTTTTTATTGTTAAAAATTAATGTAATGACATTGTGACATTCTTCTATGCAGAGCTGGTTACACACATGACCATTTCAATTTCTAGTTCCAAAATCTTAAAATACATTGATGTTGTCACCTCATTAATTACATGACAGCATACATAGTTGTAGTAAGGTAGTTTAAAGTCTTTTTTAATAATGAAGGAAGAAGAGCTTTTAATTGTGATTACAACTCACCTGTCTGAGTTTTGCAGAAGATCAGTCTCAGCACCTTCTGGAAGTGAAAGTACTAAATCTAGAAGGGAGATCAGATGATGTCCTGTAAACCAAATGCTGTCATACTCCTTCTAAAATAAAATACAAAAAATTCAGCTGAGTGCAAAATTTAGGTCTTAAATACTGTAACAATAACTTGCATAAAACAGAAAAGTTAAAAAAAAAACTCAAACACTGTAGGAAATGTTTTCTAATATTGACCTGTGAGTGAAGTACACAAATCAGCCTCTTCATATTTTAAATTATTTTGTCTTTTTGACAGCCAGGAAAGAAATGGAAGAAATGTAGTAAGAGAATTCTGAAGCTGCATAGTAAAAAGTTAATAATTTATTTTTAATTAATTTTCCCAACTTTTCTGGTATAATTATTATAAGATATGAGATTAAAATGGCTTTGCTCTAGCCCAGCCCTTCCTGATGGATGTATCATTTGCAAAGCACTCAAAATAAAATGCTGACTGTCATCATAAAAGAAAAGAAATAATTATTAATTCTATCTGAACTGTAATATTTGAATTATATCTTAAAAACTAGGAACTATGGGGTAAAACAATATACTGAGCAATTCCACTTTAGGAAAGAAATTTATTTTCAAGCACAGAAAAGGTAGTAACTTCTTAGAAAAATACAATTAAGATAGTGCAATTAAAAATACAACTGTAAAATTATAACCTAAATATGCATAGACAGAAAAAGCCAAAGTAATGTTTTTAATAAAATTTTCTAATCTATGTGTCTTTTCAAAGTGGATTTTTTAATGTATCACTCAAAGTTTAAGTTGTAGACATTTTCTCAATATCATACTGATAGAATTTTGAGAAGACATCTTGGTTTGTATTGGTAACAGCCTCACCGTTAATGCTAAGTGAATCTGATCTTTTATATTTTTAATAATGTATCCTTCCACACCAGCATGGTTGCTTGTCTTCAGTAAACACCTTCAAACAAACAAAACAAAGATATAATCTCTTTAAAGCTGCCATAGAGTTAGCTCAAAACTTAGGTAACATTTGCTAAGTGGTAAAACTCCCACAGAAGAACAGTATGACTATGTAACCTTTAAATAAGACAGCTAATTTTACATGAGGCGATTGAAATACATTATTTATCAAAACATTAATATAGTAAAATTAATGTGGCTTATCATATGGAAATTCTGTCAGAGATCAATGTATGGATGCAATTTAGCTGCACTAAGGCTGATATTACACAATCTACAGTAACTTGGATGCATACCTGAATAATGTGTATTTCCCCTCTGTATCAAACTTGTCTATTAACAACTGCAAAATATTTAAACTCTTCTTTCTCTAAAGAAAACAGAGATGTTTATCAGATATATTTTTAAAAAATTAATTCAGCGTTCAGAATCCAACTGATTCTGTAGGCCACTTAACATACCATATGCTCCATGGGACATAGGGTCATAATTTTCACCAAATCCTGCAGTCAGAGAAAGTAAATACAATTTATAATTATATACAGATTATTATGTTACATCACACTGACTAAAATCTACTCAAGACTTTAAAAAATCAAATCAAACAAAAAACCCACAGCACACTTGGGAATGTCCAGGGAATAGAAGATTCTCATCAGAGAAATTCATGCTTGCTTCAGTGGTCCAAATCCCAGGGCTGATCTGCAAGAGCACTACTCTTGTGCTGCTGCTTCCAGGTAAAAATGTAGCCAAGCAGAAGATTGGCAAGGAGGAGACAAAAACAAGCAAGCACCACCTTTCAACTAAGATCTGTGCCCACCTGCTTCAGTGACCTGTACATACACTGGGTGTATTTTAATTGTCACTGGAACTTCATGCTGCAGCAGGTAGAAAAGACAATCAATTCTGTATATCAAGACACTGAAGGTTTCAATTTAACAGCATGGCTGTATAAAGGTCCAGTTAGATGCCCTCTTCTCAAACACGTAGCTAGGTATTTCTAATCAAACTTTTAGGTTATTTCTAATCAAACTCTGAGGAGTCCTGTATACTGTTTCTTATTACCTGAGGTACATTAATAAAGTCTCTGAATTCTAAATAGTGATGCAGAAGGCTGTTATCTTCCATTCTCAATAAACAGCTCTCAAACAGATCCTGCAGGTGTGGAAAAGAAAAGGAAGATGCCAACAGTATGTGCATATACAGGACATTAATTTATCAGCTTAACAAAAACAGCCTTCACTCCAAAATACTCATTCAGATATTGCAAATTCCAAGCAGCTGCATTTATAAGTGATAGCTGTAATTTAAACATTTACACAGATCTGTAAAGTTCAATAGATACAGGTATTTGTAAGACTGAACAATACTTAACTAAGCCTCAAATTATTTCTGGAACTATCATCTGAATTATCAGTTATACCTCTCTAAGAAGGAGAAACAAAAATGTTACCATTCCTTACACTGAAAAAATAAAACATCCTAACATCGAAAATTTAATTTAAAAAAAACAACTTACTAGTCCTTTAGATAATACAGATTCTTCTGTTCTAGAAAAAAAAACAGATTTAAGTTGTGAATTAAAAAGACAGTTGATATTTCCGAAGAAATAGTAGAACAGATATCAAAAAGAACTTGTCCCTCAACAATTTTCATTCAATTTTTTAAATATAGAATCTTTATTACTCTTCCCAAAGATTTTTAGAATAAACTTGCTGATGACAAATTGAACATTAGGCTCATCTCTTCACAGTCAGAAATTACTTTTTTCCCCTCAGTATTTATATGTGCTCAAAAGCAGTGTCATCTCCCACAGGTACTGAGACGTTGATTACCAAGGAAAGTGAAATGGTAAGCAGTCAGAATAGGAAACTTGCCTTCCATAGCAGTGCTAGGGGCTATTTGGTAACACTGCTGCTTATGGAAGGTGAAATAATCACAACATATAGTAAAGTTTGGTTTCCTTTAGAAAGCCTGACCTTTAATAATTTTGCATATCATGTCAGAATGCATTCAAATAAATATTTTCACAATAGTTGCCTTTGGTAATAATTGTTATAGACAGGCAAGTAAGTATACACTGTAATTATTCTGCATGTGTTTAAACTACTAATTTTACATTTTCATAATAAAGTTTCTAAAAATGGTATCACAATACAAGATGAAAACAATACATAAGTGTTTAGACTACTGCTTTTCAATAAGAGACGCCGTCTTGTAGTGAAACTTGTCATTTTAATGTTCCAACTTATAAACCTCCTCTGAACTTATCTATATTTCAAATTTGTTTTTATGCATTACAGTAAAAGATCACACAGACTATTTAGACCCGCAAATTCCACAAACCCTACCTTTTCAGCAGCATTTCAATATGTGCCATATTGCACAGCAGAAGGTATGAAGGACTAGAAGAGAAGAATCCAGTTACATTAAACTGCATAAGCCGTATACATTTGCATATAATTAATATATTTGACAGGATTCGTATTCTTTTAAAAAAATTAAATCTCATTCAAAAATTACTGATTTTTAAATAGACAAAAAAATTTTAAGTCAAATCACTCTCAAGAACTCTTATAGGGAAACTGTCTATATATATGTAAATGAACAATTAATACATGTTAATTTTCAGCATGTGACTAATCACAGTAGTTTCTTTGAAAGGACATCTCATCTAAAATTAAACTACACTAGACTAACCTGCAGGAGTATGTTCTTTATATAACATAAGTTACATAAAATATAAATGCATAAATATTGACATAAAATTACTACTACTGAAATGCAGTTTTCATTCATAACTATTCATAAATAAAGTTCTCTTCCACTCAGAAAGAATCTTCAAAGTACAGGCTTACAATAAGCAAGAAAGAATGATTCTTACCTAAAAACCACTGGAAAGCATTCAACACCAAAATGCTGAACAAACACCAGATATGACAGACTCGCCAAAGAATCAGCAGAATTCTTTCGCTCTATGTCTGAAAACTCCTGATTCTCCCAGTGTGGACTTTTGCCTTTATGATGTACAAACACTAATGGTATCAATTCTCCTATATGCCACAAAATGTCCTAAAAAATAAAAACAGATTTCCTATAGGTGCCTCTAAAATAACTGTATGCCAATTCAGTTTTAAAGCTCTAACTGTATTTACATACATTCTCTTGTACAGCATGCATATAAATTAATATAAATGTTATATTTGTAATATATAAATTAATATACATATGTGGTATTTATGATATATGCACAAACACGCACAAAAAATCTGGAGGAAAAATAACTAGTGTTAGAAAAATGTTACTAAGATAGCAAAGTCAAACACACAAAAGTTAGCAAAAGAGAGAATGAAGACCATCTGCAAACTCCTAATTCAGCTTCCTTATCCCCAGTGAGTAACAATGAGTAACAACAGATTCATGAAAACATTATGTTACAAAATCTCTGTGTTTTTCAGATCACAGAATACTCAGTATTTTGGTTTTTTTCTCACTAATCAATATGACACACAATGTTTAGCTGCTAAAGGCAAGCCCTGATTTCAAGATAGATTTGCTTTGTATGACCTTTCTTTCCCATGATGCACAACACAGGGAACACCTGACATTTGTACATCAGAAATACTACAGTGGTTACCCCCTCACACCCTTCACGTGGCTTAGGACATAGTGTAACTCCTCTTGTACATACTACAGAGAAATGGGGAGATCAAGGTCGGCTCACTATTCTGGAGTTGTCCAAACCCAACATCCAGGATGGCACATTTTGGAAAATTAGCATTATGCAAGGTATCATACAGTCTAAGCATGACTTGCTGACCTTAACTTCAGCTCTCACTACTTAAAGCTATAAATAGAAGTTTATTGAGAAAGAGAAGAAAAGAAAATTAGCATTAAAAACATGGTTTCAGACTGTGCCCAACAGGATATATCTTACACAGCCCATTAAGTCACCCCACTAACCAATACAGAAATCAAAATAATCACTACAACAAGTTAGAGGCAATTGTGAACTAGACCACTGGTTCTGCACACATTGTAATTCATTTCCACTGCACTCACTATAATTTCAGTTGCAAAGTGCCGAAAAGGATGTTCTTCAATGCCCTCAAGCTGTTCAAGCTGAGCTGTCAATAGTGGGTATTTCAGGCTTCTCATACAGCTGAAAAAGAAAGGGGTGGAATAAATCACCAATACAATCATAAATACAGACTGATAGTGTCACTGATGACCAAGAATAATGCCTATATTCATATCAGCTGCTGCTATTCAAGGTATTCCAAGGAGAATAAAAAAATAAAAACCCAACGTCTCCTGTAGAAGCATTACTTAGACTTCACCTCCAGACTATGATTAATCTCACTGTTGGAAATTTGAGGAACAGAGGAATACCAACTCAGCTTCACAATGCAGCAACTAATAGTTCTTTACTGTTTCCCTCTACTAAACAGAAAGCATAAATATATAAAATCCATTTAGGGGTTCTTTGTCAAAATACCACATTAGTTAGATATATGTTGGCAGCATTATAAGACACTAAAAGATTATTTATTTGCTGCCTACATAATAAATGCCTACTATTCATTTTGTTAAGTTACAGGAATATATAGCACAGACATAAAATGCTCACAATTTTATTAATTCTTCTTTCAGCTCCATGTCATTGTATTCTGATGACTTTTCCATATTTTTAACAACTTCATTCACAAAAGGTTTAGCAAAGTCCACCACTGCATTACAACATTGACAGAGACCAAGTTTGTCTTCTTCAATTTGTTGTTTTGTATAAGGTACAGGTAAGGGAGTGAGCTGATTCATAATCATGGCCAATGACAAACCCACTGAGTAGGCCTTCTTGTTCTGAAGTTTCAAAAGCACTGAGGGAAAGAAAATAAAGACAAAAAGAAGAGAGAACATTTTGAGACATTAAGTTATCACTTACTTAATAGAGGAAAACATGAAGAAAAACAATGTGACTAGGTAAGGAAACATTTTGTTTTCAGGGAAGGAGAGCAATGATCCCTGAAATCACATGAGCAAATCCAGCAGGATTAAACATCACCTAGTTTAATCACTGTAGTTAACATGGCCATGTATTTGCAAATAACAAATATTAAATCTGTCCTGCATTCCAATGTTCTTCCTTTCTCCACAGCACCAGGATTAGGACTGACAAAAAAAAAATCTGTTTTCTAGAACTGGGCTAAGTGAAATGATACACATATTTGACCAAGAAAATGCATTTATTACTTGACTTCTTCTGTGCTTAGCAAAACCAGAGACAATAGGCCAGCTTTTCTGCTGAGAACTGACTCTGGTTTTTACTCCATGGCAAAAATAACAGACACTCTCCCAGACTGAGGAAGCAGAACCAGAGGCTCTCCACTTTAACTGGACCCAGTGACGACTAATTGCAGGTTGGCTATCCAAAAAAACACATATTTATCTTAAATATGTTAAATATGTTAAATTCTAACATAATACAATAACATATCCTGGAGATTGCTACAATCAGACTTCAATTTGATACACAATACTTAATTTCCTTTCATATAAGAAAACAGAAACTACTGCTTGTTACCCACTTAGAGAGTGGCCACACCCAACATTTTAAATTTTCATATGTAAGTCAGAATAACACTCCTCCCCTCACCAATAAAGTATTTCAACATGCTTCAATCAAAATTATAATTTTATACTATAAAAACATAGAATTGCATATTTTAAAAATCAAATAATGAAGAATTTCACAAATCCATGTGATTTCCTATTTCTGCAACAACAGTAGGAGTGCTTTACACCTCTAAATAAAACTGTCATAGGACCACATTCTTGTAAATGATGAAAAATAGCTGAACACTGCTTTTTCAACTACTGCTATTAGTTCCATCAGAAATGTTTTTTAACAGGCCAATATAAGCATGAAATTTATGCCTTGTGTTATGTTGCAGAATATAATGGACAGTAAAGCTTGTCATGACTGATTTATTCTGAAACCATTCCAGCAAAGGCTAAAATAAAATGATAAATAAATGAGAGAATAATTTAATTCAGAAATTACACGATAAACTTAATCCCACCTGTCTGCAAAGGCTGAAGCAATAACATGACAGTTTGACACACTTGCTCTCCAGAGGTCTGCTCAATCTGCTCAAGTAAACCCAAAAAAAGTTCCTTTGGATTGCAGAGCTGCAAGAGAGGAACAATGTGCATTTTTAAATAATCATGGTCATAATAAAAAAAATAAATCACATGCAATACAGAAGTTCCTGAATGTCAAGAGAGAAGATCTGAACATCCAAGATAAGATTTAAGAAAACAAATATGAAACAGTAAGTACATGCCTACAATTAACATCTACTGTAGAGCATACCTGTATGTACACTTTCATATGAGCTGAAAACATAATAGTAAAAACTGACACTAAACCTGATTTTAATAGGCTGTAAAAACCTCACAGTACCTTTGCAAAGTGATCCTTAGGAGCAAAGAGAGAAGTAGAATTTGAGTCTGAATTTAACTCAAGCTATAAAATTTGCAAGTTGGTTTTGAAGTGCATAAATGAAAGAGAATGAGTTTTTACATGTTAAAACATTTTTCTGCTCCTACTCCATCAGAATCATCAGGTAATGATTCTCATGTTGAGGAAGGGTGAATGATTTAAGGGAAATACTTTTCTGAGTGAATCATAGAAAAGAAAACAATAAATACTATTCAGACAGAGATAAGTGGAAAATGGCAAGGTCTTGCAGAACGGTTTTGAAACAACTAAAGAGAGGACATGAACAGAGAGACCTTGAATTAGATACTAGAAAACACATTTAGCAACATACTGTAAGTTTTACTCAAACTAGCTAACTCAGATGAAATTGTGTCCTTTAGATTAACTTAGCTCATTTTCATGTGAAAAACATACCTCTGAGACTAAGCCTACCACTTCCAAACAAAGAGCCCTACCCACTAACACACACCATGAATTCAGAATTCTCTGTACCTTTAAACTGGGTGAGGGAATGTTAAACTAAGAGCAGCTCACCCAAGTAGTGATGTAGATATTATGTAAATATTGTCAGAATCAAATTGTATAAACATGTTTATGTAACTGGCCTTTGGTGTACTAGCTTCATGGATTAATGATCTAGCATCCCTTTTTGTGCAGAACTTCCCTAACATTGTTGTATCATAATCATGTATTCCAAAACCATACCTGTGCCAACTGATCTAGTATCCTCAGGCAGTGTTCTCGCTTATCATCTTCTTGTTTGTACATAAAAATACATCTAACAAGAGGAGAAATGAGATTCCAACCCATATTCTTGATGATAACCTAAAAACCAGATATTGGAGAATAAACCAAAACTGGATGTCTTCTAAACCCAGAAAGATTGTGTATATAAAGACCAAAGACAACAACAGATCAATGTCCTGGACAGTAACCATTACTGTCACTATCACTGAATATTCAGCAATTGTTACCATAATTTGACACACACTGTATTCTCTCCCCATACCTATAAAAACAGCTGCATGCTTTGTATAATTTTCTTCTAATTATTGACATGTCAATATATACTTCTAAACATCCATGACAATACATTTAAAATGGGACTGAGCAGAGGAGTTCTGCTGAAAGAACACCTGAAAAAATTATTCATTAAGGGATTTAGATTTTCAGTTGTTACTCCAAACTCACAAAATTCAAAACCAGATTGTGAACCCCACATAACAGATTGGAACCCCATGTAACATTGCTAAAATATTCCACCCCTCCCTTTCTTTCTGAATTTCCTATTAATCTCTGCTCGGTTTGGTATATTGTCCTAGCATCTCTAATGCCCACAGACATCAGTATTTCACATTAGCATCAGCCTAGTTGGCTCCTACAGTTGGCCAATATTATTATATCCATTTGTGCTGGCTGACCCCCAAGAGCAACTAAGCACCCCTAAGCTGCTTGCTTGCTCTTGTCCCTCAGTGGGATAGTGGTGACAGTCAAAAGAGCAAAACAGAGGAACTCTGAAGATAAGGCCAAAATAATAAGTGAAAGACAAAAGACAGCAGAGCATGACAGGGAATGATGTAGATTGAGACCAATGCCCAGCCAGCCTCCAAACAACAGCTACTTTGGAATGGGTCCCCAACCACGTCTTTACTGCTGAGCACAATGTTGTATGCTGTGGAGTATCTCACTGCTTTGCATCAGCTGTCCCAGCTGTGTCTCCTCCCAAATTCCCTGCTTACTGGGAGCAGAGTTAGAAAGGGAGAAGGCCTTGATGCTGCACAAGCATTGATCAGCAGTAGTTGAAACACTGATGTATTATCAGCACCTTTTTGGTCACAAATCTAAAACACAGCACTATGCAGGGTGCCATGAAGCCAACTCCATGCCAGCCAGATCCAGTACACCATCTGAAATCCCCATCCTGTGGAAATGGGACATGTCACTTTCTCCTAATTATGCTTTTCTGCATCCTTTTCTCTTTGCTTCACTCACAGGAGAGTTATTAATGGTTTTGTTAAGATTACCATGACTTGGGTTTCTGTAAGGTACCTGAATAGAGAATAATGGGCACTTAACACAGGACAACTTATTAGCTACTCTTATGTACAGCCTTGCTCCACAGAGAAAGTAGCTTTCCCCTCTTAATAAGCAGTTTTATATTTAATGATGTTAATAAACACTACTATGTAGTGCAAACTTAAACTCACCTTGTTTTTCTCATTTTGAATTACTTCTAATAACTGAGCTGCATATCCATCTTCCAAACATTTCTGACCTGCTACCTGAAACAGATTAAAATCTTCTCCTTTGAAATCAGCTTCTTCCAGAATTTGCTAGAAAGAAAATATGAATGTTTAAGCTCATACTTATCAAAGTCAATTAAGAAATAAGAAAATCCACGCTTTCGTTTCAAAATTAGATGTAATATAATTGTAACTTTTATACATTTTTAACATACTAAAAAAGCTACCAAGTTCCTACAGAACACAAGGCAGTATTTCAATAGCACTAAGTCTAGACTACAGCTTGCTGTTTGGAAGATGTGTTTTCTACAACTACCAGCTTTTGTTCCTAGGTACAAGAACACTTCCTTCTCCAAGAAGCAGAAATAATCAAGCATCTTGGGATAAGCACCACAGAGAAGGCAATGAGACATGGAGGCTCAACTTAGCTGCCCCATGAAGAGTTCTACTAACAGCAGACTTGTTCTTTGAGGTCATTTTGGCTTTAATTCTAATATATGAAAAGAAACTCGCACTACTGACACTTGTTACTTCTAAGGAAGGAAAACTACTTACACATCTTTGTATTATGGCTTGAAGTTCATCAACTGCCATTATAGTTGGACTGTGCTCTTCCGGCATGAAAATTTATTATAAATTAAAGAGGGCAGTATTATATCACACGGATTTAAAACAGAGGCTGAAAAATAATCACATTATCAAAAAAAAAAAAAAAGTTAATGGAGGAACAAGAACAATCTAGACAAATATTAAGACTACATAATTAGAAAATAAGGGAAAATTCATTTTTACTAAGTGTATGCTATATTATTCTACTCCCCATATTTGCAGGAAACAGTATTACAGCCAGGAAACAACCTGCATTCTATATTCTATGTACAGGGAAACAATTTTTCAAGTACTACCTGGGTCATCTTAAGAAGTGTGAAGGTTTCAGTGATTACTGCAGGCACATACATGGAAAACTGCAGCTAACACAGAGCAAGTCTGGGCTCACTGCACGCCAGGCAGGCACACCCATGACACGCTACATTTTCTGTGACTATTCTGACCAGAGGAGCTTCTGCTCAGCCCTGACTGGAACACACTAACCTGATATCCGGGATGTGAAGGCACTGATCCAAACACTATGCTTGTTTATATCAACAGTCCAGTCAAAATTACATATGCAGCTTCACTTATTTCTTTCTAGTGTCTATGTGGGACTAGTTCAGTGGCCTTTTACCTCAAGGTATTAAAATGTAAAGCTTTCTTGCTAAAAACAACAAAGTTATACACTTGAGTAATGTCAAGTATGTACCAAGTTTTATGTAGCCAGGACCATGAATTACAAATACAATCAAGCCTCGTTATCCCATGTGATATATCATAGCAGCAGTCATGATCTTTATGGTTTTAAGTAATGCCATGGGCCTAAACCTGGCTATATGATCACTATGACTGTCAATTACCCCTACACCTGGTTAATTAGGCAACTATTCATCAAAACACAGGCATCTCCATGCAATGTCCTGAGCCTTTCTTCTTAGTTTTACCTAAAGTGGTGGGTTGACGCTGGCCAAATGCCAGCAGACCTAAATGAGACAACACACAGATAACGAACCTATCTAGACGTTCACAAAAGGCGACAACTCACAAAAGCTTAAAAGGCATCTGTGTGCGACCTTCTCTATTCAAAGAATAAACAACTCACTTCCTATTCTTCACGGCCCGTTCTGACACCTGTATGCCACTGAAACCTATCCTTTCTAGCCTGTCATTTTAACCAGATCATTACCACGTACTTTCTTACCACATGTTGTACTATTTAAGCTCATCATTTTACAGAACGTTACTAATCCCGCCAAAACAATTTAACATACTTTCGAACACCAGCCCTCAGTAACTTGACAACGTACTTACAGCCTTGAAACGCGTCCCAGGCACCCACCGTGTTGCAGGGATTTACTGGCTGAGCTCGCAGATGGTCTCCAGCCTTAATACTTAATCCAGCTGAATCTTTTAGGAGGTTTCAGCGGCAAGTGAGCAGCATCCGAATCATGTGAAACGTTCTATTAATACTCACCAAACTCTCTTCTAATAAACAGACACCCCAGCCCCTTCTCTGGGCGGTACAACACCCAGGATGGGACGAAAAGGCTGCCAGCTAAAGCCTGTAACACACGGCTGAATTAAAAACCACAAGGGCACGGCACGGCACCGCCTTACCTCACCTCAGCCCCTGCCGGAGGAAGCCCTCAGCTCCGCGCCGCCGCCTCTCCGGCCCCGCCGCGGCAGCGGCTCCGCCCCGGGTGAGAGGTCGGCGGGCGGAGCGGCGCTGAGGGCGATGATGGCGGCCGGGACGGGCAAGTCCCGCCGGCGGCGCGCAGGTGGGCGCCAGGGTCCGCGCGCCAGCCCCCGCTCCCCCCCGGCCGCGCGTTGGGCTCTCCCTGTGCCCCTAGACCGGCACAGCGGCGGAGTCGCCCAAGCCGCCGTGCCGAGGGGAGCGCGGCCCGGCCGTGGTCGGCTCTGTGGGGCTCCGCGGGGCTCTGCCGGGCCGGGTGCGGGGCCGCGATGAGCGGTGGACCGGACGGGGCGAGGCCAGGACCCGCCGTCCCCTCGGGCTGTGAGGGGCCGGGCCGGCGGCTCTGAGCGTCGGGGACGGGCTGTGACGGCGGTCGTGCTGTCAGGGCGCTGAGCCCTGCCCGGGGCGCTGCGTCCTTGCCAGGGTGACAGCCCGGTGTGTCCCTGCCTGTCGCCCTTGTGTGAGGGGAGCGGCTGCGCGGGACGCCCGCGTCGGAAGCTGGGTCAGGCGGCGTCCCGGGCGGCACCGAGCGCGGCGGGAGCGGCTCTGTGTCAGGCCTTGGACCTGGCCCCGAGCACAGCCCTGCCCTGGGGGCAGCTGTGGGGTGCCGGGGTAAAACTGGGCTTTACCGGCTGGGTACAGAGAGACGGGGGGTGTGGCTGGCACAACATCTTTGTCAGAATGTTTTCCCTTTTTTGTGTATACAGAACGTGGTGAATGAGAGTATGAGAAGCGTTGAGCCTGTCTGTTTTCACACTTTTAAAGTGTGTCTGGTTGCTGAATACCAGCTTACTGAAATCACAGCCATCAAAAGCAATAATAAGAAATTATCTTTGTTGTGCTTACAGTTTAGAGGTTTTCATATTTTTCAGGTTCAACATCTGTTGTTAAGCAAGTACACTAATTTCGATATCTGTATATTTGATTCTTAGGAAATAAGCATTCAGCTGCTCAGAAAAATGAAGATGCTGCTCAAAGGTATAATTTCTGAGGAATAATATGAGCTATTTGTGTTGTTTTGGCTCACTTTGAAATTGCAGTCTCTGTGCTGCAGAGGCTTTGCTTTCTCAGAGTACCACGATTAACTTCAGTAAATCACCAGCATCAGCATCATGTAGGACATGTTTGGAGAGGTGCTGTGTAACTTCTAACAGCATGCACATCTGAGTATGGCTTAATATACTAAAAGTTTGTAATCTAATGTCCAAAACTGTATTTCCTTAGCCTGTAGTGCTTGCTTTTTGCTGTCTTAACTTCTTTACATAACTTCTGCCATTTATAATTATTTACGTTAAAAAAACAGTCAGGAGGAGGTATTTGTTTATTTTTTCCTTCCTTTACCTTGTAACCTTACACTCAGTCATGTCCTAGTTCTTTTTTTCTTCCCATTCTTCATGTGTTACATAGTTCCTTTTTTCCTGACAACACCCCATAAATTGTCCCAGGTTCTTTGTTCAGCCAGTTCTGGATTTCCCTCTTGCAAGAAAATTTGGGGAGTGTATTGCAGTACAGTAAGAGTCAATACTTTTTTTGACCAGCAAATAAAGCACACCAATATTAAATACATAACCTTTTGTAGTAACAGAATTACTAGTCCAGTTACTTGTTGCTTTGTTTGGCCAACATGGTGTGATACAAAAAAATGTAAGCTGTATTTCAGAAAAAAAGATAAAAATACTATTGGGAAATTGTTTATGGAAATCTGCCCTCTGTATCATTCAGTTTCTGTTCTGTTACAGGAAAGCAGCTCTGGAGGCTGCACTGAGAAAGAAGATTGAATGTGAGAAAAAAGCATTGTCTATTGTTGAGCAGCTCCTGGAAGAGGACATTACTGAAGAGTTCCTTCTAAATTGTGTAGGTGTTGCAAGTTTTTCTACTGTTTTGTATCTTAGTGTAGTACTTTTTTAACAGATTTTGGAATACTTTGCTGCAGTTTAAAATAGCCAAACCATTGATTCCTTCTTCTACCAGCTCTGATAACAGTCTCCATATTTTTAAGGGTTCTGCAGTGAAAACATGCCCTAGTTTTGCAGGACTGTGTACATTAATGGATCCTCAGTCCTTTATCAGAGCCTTTGTTGATACCTCTGTGGTTCTGAACTGACAGATGAACTGTAAAAATTTAGGTTTGCATCATACTGTCTGTAAATTTGCACAAAGACTCTATAAAGCACCACAGTTATCTGGCAGCAGAGTTTTGCTGGAATGGTATGATGATTATTCTTGTTAAGGTTGTAAATAGGCTGATTAATAGGTGTACACAACATGTAAATAGAGGCAAAAATGTGAAGGTTTTGTATATGCAAAAAAGAAATGCCCAGGTCTGTTTTCATTCCCTCTTTACGCTTTTACCTTTCCTACTATGTAGGTTCTCAATGTTGTTTATTAAACTTAATAGATAGCTGTTATAAAACTTAAGCTATTTATATGCTTCAGAGATGTTTTAAGTACAAAAACTGGCAAGTTTTCCAGTATCTGTTGTTGAACTATTTTCTTGTCATTTTAGGGAAAAAGTATTACTCCATCTCACTATAAAGATGTTGTTGATGAGCGATCTATCATCAAACTGTGTGGTTATCCTCTATGTCAGAAGAGACTGGAAAATGTAAGTTGCTTTTCCTTAATGCTGTTATCAAAGGAACGTTTTCACAATTTTTATTGTCTTGCATTTCTTTTTAATTTTAAACTTGGAATATTAAGCACAGATTACTGTCAAGTAAGGAGCCAGGCATTATATAATTCCATTTCAGTATAATCCTTCTGAAGTGAAAGGTGAAATTTCATCAGTAGACAGCAGTTCTTGTATGCCAGAATCAGTAACTGCATGATCAGAATCACAATCCAGGTATCTGTTCTGACAGGCATAAAGATGAACGAGTGGTGGCTTCATGGCCTTCCTTTGTGAATGGAAAAACTTTGAAATCTTGTTCTTCTGTCAGTGTAGCAACAGATGTCTGTGAGAAGGATTAAAGTGAAAAAACAATGCAACGGAGGGATGTTATTATGTGAATGCATATATATCTGCTATGAAAATGTATGTCAACTATGTCAATTTGAAAGTCACCCCTCTTTAGGTACGATGCATGAGAGCTTAAGCAGAACTTGGAGGTCAGTTAGATAACCTGTGATGTAATACCAGTGCTACACATGAAAACATCTAAAAACATTCTACTCATGTACAAAACAATTTACTATCTTGGACTTCATCTCTTTGCACAGATGTTCATTTCAAAACTGTTACAGTTTGCATAAGTTCATCTGGGTTTGTCTGGGTAGTGGTTCGGGTCTGACAGTTCAGCCTCATATGATATAAATAGATCTGGATTAAGGAAGGCCCTGTCTGTAATTGCGCAGCACTTACTCATGAGGAAAGCTTCTGCCATAACAGCTCCATTGTTTTATGTTCAGCACTGGTTTTCTTACAGCTGTGGAGCTACCTTTTACTGATTAATGAGATGTGTATGATTAAAGATAAACTGCCATTCTTACATCTGAGAAGGTGCAACATCAGAAGAACTGAGGGAAAAGGTGGTTATAGTATGCATTTCAGTTAAATAGAATATTTTGCACGTACCCAAATACGTGAATTAAGAATGAAGTTTTCTCTGTAGTCATGATGGAACTGACAGTCTTGCTGATGAAACTATATTATTTTAGGTGCCAAAGCAGAAGTACAGAATTTCAACAAAAACGAACAGAGTTTATGATATCACTGAAAGAAAGGTATGGTAACAAGTGTATTTCTAGAATGTGTTTAATGGTGGCAACATCAAAAAATGCATTTTGTAACAGCATTCATATAATGGCTTGATTCACAGGCAAATATGTTTGGTTCTTATTAAAAAGATTTTCACAAACTGTTGAAATTTTTTGTGCATTTCACTTCCTAGATGATATCTTTGGTGAGACAAAATACATGTGTTTTCAAAGTTTAAATGCAAGATGGAAAATTTTACTTGGATAGCCGTTTGAATGTCGCACAGCTGCTCTGTTAAAGGCATTTGTGAAGTGTTCTTTATTTTGCTCCAGCATAATCAATAGAGTCAAGCTGCACATCCTTTTCAATCACTGAAGTCTGCAGTAATGTAGTACAAGTTACATATTACATATCCCTTAGTGTACTTTTTTGGGGAACATTTAGGTTTCTCTTTTGAGGACTTTTCAATATAAAACTTAACTCTTCACAAAATGTTTCTTTCTGGAAGCATGTTCACAGGTGGTTGCATAAAAGTCATCTTTGCCATTTCACAGGATACACAATCACCTACAAGCACGTAGACACTAAATTGTAACATAAATGTTTCCAGTTACGGAACAAATTTCTTCAGTGTCACTAGTATGCATTCCTTTCCTCTGATTAAAACTCTGGGATACACAAAATTTTAGTAATTGCTTTCATGAGCAATCAGGCAAGACTCCAACAAGATGTGGGATACTTTATGTTCTTCCCTTGTAATGCAGGTTTGCAAATCAATTTTTCAAAGATGCTGCAGATTTTTAGGTGTTGTTCTAAGTATTACAAAATAGTGGGTTCTGTTGCTAGCCAAAATTTTCATTATTAAACATCTGAATTTTATTGTATGGCTTTCAAAGTGTATGAACAACATATTGGGTTATGGGTTCCTCTTTGAACAGTTTGATTTGTTGGGGTTTTTTTTTAATTATTATTATTATATAGAATCCAACACTGGTTTGCTTCTCAGTGTGTAATAAAAGTGCAGGAAGCAGAACAATGGAGAGGAAAGAAGCAGCTAAATGTGGCTTGTGCAGAAGGGGACAGACCTGTTTGATAGGCTGGGTTTCTCAGGTGTGCTAAAAACCTGGCCACAGGCTTGAAAAGAAAAATTTATTGCTACTTAATTTTACAGACATTAAAATAAATTACTTTTGTACCTTTCTATGTATTAAAGTTTGCCTTAGTTGTTCTTGCTTTCTCTCATTGCCAGTGCTTTTGCAGCAACTTTTGCTATAAAGCATCTAAATATTTTGAAGCTCAAATTTCCAAAAGTCCAGTGTGGATGAGAGAAGAAGAAAAGTAAGTATAATCCTATACATTCATTACACCTTTTGAGAATACTATTTCTCTATGTGTCTGCAGTGGTAATTAAGAGCTGCAGCACAACAAAATGATTTGGCTGAAGCAGAGGTAGCTGATGTTAACATGTTAGCTTAGCATGGTGTCTGTTTTAAAAGTGTTGTAGCTGTATGGATTACAGTAATTGGCCTGGTTCAGTACTACTCTCATCTACTTAGCAGACGTGACCATGTTAGTTTAGAGGGCAGACTAGTCAGAAGTAATAGTTAACTCCTATTAACTTTAAAATGGACTGACTAGGATTGAATTCTTACAAACAGGTTGGAATAATCTTACACTGTTACAAGAGATTTCTAATTTTAGCATAGCACTTAGCATTGATCTTAAGCTTAGGCAATGAATGCTTGCATCTGAAAGCAGTCTATAACACAAAGAGGTTTTATATCCAGTCTAAATTTCTGATTGGCCATTTCTTGTTCTTCCTGCAATACACATTTTAGAACAGTATGCAGTCCACGCTCCCATCTTAGGAAACATGGGCTTGCAAATAGTCAATGGAGCCAATGGGTGTCACTGTTGAACAACAAAGACTGGCATAGAGAATGTTCAGCAAATTTACTCAGCTGTCATTCTCCAGGACACTGTTTCTCATAGTCTCCTGGGTTTCAACAAAAGAAACTAGCTGGAGTTATATGTGTCATATGAAATATATGATCAATGACAGAAGAGCTTTAGAGCAGCCTCATCAGATCGGAAGTATTCTAGTAGGTAAAACTAGACTTGTTATTAAAAGTTTAAGTTTACCAGTGCTTTTGAGGTATTGTTTTGCTGTCTTTAAGAAAACTGTTTCTAAAATTTCCCTTTATTCTTCACATAAAAAGTGTATAGTTCTTTTATGCCTGACATAGTTAATTATTTATTCTGGGTGCTAGTGGGGAGGCGGTATTTTCAAAAAACAAACAAACTCCCAGATAGTTATTGGTTAGCTACACCTCTTTGCACAAGCACATACATGTGCACACACCAATACACACTGACATGCTGGAATATTTGAAATTCCTTTGACAGAAAAGACTGCAACCTCCACTTAAAATTCCACAGAAGAATTATATGGAGCTAGTAATATAAATCACTCTGTTATCACCTTTAGTTTCCAAATTTAGTTTATTGATATGAGTGACACAGCTTTCCTGCAAGGTCTTTTACATACGTTAGTACACTGACTTACATTTAGCGCCTGTTTAAAAGGTTTTCTTTCAGTCATTGGATACGTGAGATTTTTAACATTTGGTATTGGATAAGAGGAATAGGACTGCCAAGCTGCCTCAGAACCGAAGTAGATTAATTGCAAGTAGGGCTTTGGAAAGAAACTCGTCAGAATTTGTTTAGTAACATTTTTAGTTTCTGTAAGCCTTTGAAAACAGTTTTCTTTAAAAAAATATAACTTGATAGCCTAGTTTTTAATAAAGTAAAATTTAAAATAAGTAAAAAATCATGAATATTTGTATTTTACATTAATTGGTACATTTTCCTGTAAATAGCCCAGAATTGTCTTTACTACAGGAACCTTATGATCTATGAAGATCATGGCATGTTCACTTGCTTGAAGAATAGATCTGAAAACAGTGTAAAACTAGCTGAAAAAACTTAGAAGGATTACAAAGCCAAACTATTCTTGGTTGATGGCCACAGATAATCACATGAATGGTTCAGGTTGGACATTTGGAAAAATATTGTACTAAGGTTACCGTGGAATGAAACAGGATACTCGGTAATATTTTGAAATCTCCATGTTTTGAGGTTTTCAAGATTTAAACTTCATGAATTTGTGGCTGACCTAACCTAGTGCTGGTGAGAGTTGCATTTCAGGCAGGAGATCAGACTAGAGCCTTCCAGAGGTCCTTTCTGACAAGCCTTTGTGTGACTTGGTGACTGTGTTAAATTGTTCACTGTAACAGCTTTGTGCTGCAAGCACACGAGTCACGTTCCCTGAACACGTGCACAAACCTGCTCTTGCTAGCTTTGCTTTGAACAGAGGGTGTTGGAGTAGATGATCCTCAGATGCCCCTTCCAAAGTCAATTCTTTTTGTATTTATGTGTATTTCAAGAGATTAGATTTAGCAGGAAAATGTTCATTCTGTCTTCTTTTTCCAGACCACCAGACATAGAGCTGCTGAAGGAGGGACGAAGGTACACTGAACAATTTCTTTTTTTTGTTAAATGCACTTATAGCTAGAAATTTTAGCATCATAGCAGACACAAAGGGGATCTTTGATTTGTTGTGATATAAAAAAGACCTTATCAGAACCTATGCAAAGGTTTTTTCCTTTGTGATTCTAACCCAGCAAATTTGATCTGTATGATTTACTGTACAGCTGCTCTTGGATTGTGTGTCTTAATTGAGCCTGTTGAAATCTGAAACAAATACACTGTTTGTACTTTGAATATTTTATGCCTTCTATTCTTTATAAAGAAAATTGTGCCAATTATATGTGATGAAAGCTTCTGTACTTCTTAATCTAAAAGGTCTATATGAGCCAAAAAGAAATCACACTACTCTGTCATCTTGCTGTACCTCACTGTGCCTTGCGCACCTTTCTGTTTGCTTTCTTTTGCAACACGTTGCCATTAGGTGGCAAACTTATATATGCTGAAACAGCTCAGCTTAACCCTGATTTAAGCCTGATTTAAGGGTACTATTTTCCTATATATGTTAACATGCCTGTCTTAATTTTAAAATTGCACTCTTCATGATGCTAAGTCTGACATTGTTCTGCTGTCTTTAATAATATCTTGTTTATACTCTTCTTTTCTAACTACCAATCATAAGCTGATAACTCACGTCTCTAAATAGTCTCTATACTTGTCATTTTGATTATAGAATAGTGCAACTCTTAGAGTTCAAGAAGACTTTTAGAAGAGCACTTATGATTCTTAAAGTAAAAAATTACACTTCTGCTATAAGGGGGCAAATGCTTTATCATTCTTACATGAGGATGAGAAGCTATTGAAGATAAAAGCCATTTCTTATTTCACTGATGACTTGTGTTTTTTATTGTAGTGGACAGTCTGGAGAAGAGGTGAAACTACGTGATGAAGTGATTAAAGCATCTGACATTGAAAATCCTAGGATATCTTCAGATCCATGTGAATCTGGTTCTCATGACACAGCCAGTGACAGCAGTACTGATACTGAGCAAGGATTTATTTCTTCTGTCCTACCAGGAAGTCAGTCAAGTTCAGCCAATTTTGCACAGCAATTGCACAGAAAAAGCATCCTCAAAAAGAAGCATGCTCAGAAAGTCCATACCAGCTCTAAAACTGAAGATGCAGATGTAGTAGAAGCCACTGAACAGCTGTCTCATTGTAAATTAGACACTCAGGAAGAAAGACATGCTTTCTCTGTTCATGATGAAGTAACTGCACCACCTTCAGACAATACTGCTCCTGGGAAATCAAGTGCTTCAGAAATCTTTGAAAATACATGTGGATCAGAGATAGTTTTTCTAGGTGTGAGCAAAAGAGGAGCAGAACATCTTAAAAGAACACTAGCTAAGTCAATGGAACATAAAAACCCTGAACTGAGGCATCCAGTTAATTCCAAAGGCAGTTTACTAGAAGTGCTTAGGCAAACACTTATGGAATGGAGAACTGAGGAAACTTTAAAATTTCTCTATGGCCCAAACTATACTTCTTTGTGCTCAGCAGAGTGCATAGCATCTGTCAACCAGGAGACTGAAGAACTTGATGAGGATGACTTAGATACAGCTGATGATCTCAACACTGTTGGTGTAGAGGAGTCTGAAAACAGTTTGAACTACTCTTTACCTTTCACAAGCTCAGGTGGAATAGTTAAGCCTCTGCCTAGTTACGAAAAGTTAAAAGAAGAAACAGAGTTCCTAGAACTCCGAGTAAAAGAGTTCTATAAAGGAAGGTGCATCTTGGCTGAAGAGGCAGCGACACAAGCGCAAGCAGGGGAACATCCAAGCAAAGACAAAGTAAGGGTCTGGTGTAACAGTGTGGAGGTTGTATGAAGCCCGAATAGACCTTCAAAGAATTAGTACTTTGTTTCTGCTATCATAAGTAGATAAGTATCTCACACGGAGAAAGAGAAAATTCCGTTAGCTGCATAATGTATGTTGCATCAGATTATGCAAGGGTCTGCCCATTAAAAAGTAGTTCGGGGTTGGTTTTTTTTCATAGGTAAGAGTTATTTAATGCTTAAATTGATTATTGATTATTTGTGACTTTTTTGATGTACTGCCTTCAGTTAAACACTAGGTTGTAGCTGTTAAAGTTTCTTGTCTAATGCAGGATGATCAGCAGGAAGATCTCACCTTCCCACTTGTTGATTCAAATGCACAAATGCAGATTAGGAAGCGAATTGTCCTTGAAAAACTGAGAAAAGCGTAAGTACCCTATACTTCTGTGAATGTCAGTCTGAAGTTGGTATTCCTTCATCATTGTTTGAAGTAACAAACACATCCAAGGATAGGCCTGGCTCTTTCTAGGTGGCCCTAGTCATAACTTAAACCCATTATTGCCCTAAAGGACTTACTTATTTCTGCAACGGTCAGCTGTAGTACAGTTGCAGGTGCCGGTTTGCAAAGTTTGTAGGTACTAACTGCTTAAGTTTAGACTGAAAACTTGAAATTGATTGAGAAGAGCTCAAATATTTGTCTTGTACATTAAGCATACTGTTAGTTGTAAACAAATCTTTGTAATTGTTTAAGCATAGGTCTTACAAAGAGAGAGTTTCTAATGCATGTTTGGATGGCTGGTATCAGATGCCCCTAGCTTCAACCACTAAAGGCCCTCAGAATTGGATCTTAAAACTTTCAAAACATCAGACCTTCTTCATATACATAAAAGGGCTTTGGAGTCACACAAAAGAGATTAAGGCATTTCTGATGTAGCTTTTAGAATTACTAAATTGTTAAAGTTGAGAGGACCTTGAAAATATTCTCATTGTCAAGGCAGTGCAGATAAATGAGTGTTTAAAGGTCATGATTCTGTTGTTTTTGGTAGGGGTATTTGCTTTTCTGTCGTTGTAGTTTGTGTTACCTAGTCAAACTAAGTTTTGCAGAAGCCTTTTTAAAAACTCACAACCAACCCCCTCCTCTATGCCAAAATAAAAAGAAAATCCTTTCTGTTTTTCTCTACCTGCACCATGTGTGGGTAGGCCACAAACATGGAATCACACCATCCCCCAAGTGTCTCGTCTGTAAATGTTGATTGTTTTAAATTTCCTGAGCTGATGCAGTTGTTCTGTCACAATCAAGAGATCATTTTCATTGTGATAAAGCAATGAATATGCCCAGCATCATAAGAATCCTTGTGTTCAGTTTTTGTAAAACATGCAGTCTTCCAGAATACTGATGCAGTATGTGTTATATGCATATAAATGCAAATCACTGGATATGCAAATGCAAGAGAATTTTAACTATTTAAAGAGTAAATAGAGACAAAAGTTTAATCCTAAATGTGAAAAACAAAGGATGTTATTTCCATCATTTGGGAATCCTGACAACTAGTTAAAGAGGATGTGCAGTTTGTGTGGTCTATCCTTTTTATGCACAAATAAGTAAAGAAGAATCCTGTCTTTTTCTCTCTTTTGAAATTTTCTGGTAACTATCATCTAGATTTCAACTGTCAAGCTCACAGTGGACTGACATTTCTGTTGCATCTGTGTGAGTCTGAGGTTAGCAGGTATATTATGTGTGAATACCTCATTTAGATTTGCAGTTTCCTTTTGTATTGTTATTTTTGAGCCAAGTAAATATAAACCTTAAAAAAATGTATAAGGCCTGTAGTTTTAATCCTCATAATTGTAAGCATACTTTTTCAGAACTGAAAGGTCAAACTAGTAAGTAGAACTGTATTTAAATCTTCGTATCCACATAGAACTAGAGCTTCTTATTTTTAAAAACAAGCGGTTGTGAAGTGAAGATGTTGGCCCAAACAGCACACAGAGAGAGCTGAAATGAAAACTACAGGCCTGATCTACTGCACAGAAGTCAAATCTCCTTTCTTTTTTACTAACCTTGATAAGCTTTGGTGGAAGTCCTACTTCAGAAGAAGTGAGAAAGAGAGGAAAATGTATATTGACTGGTGTCTTTTGCCTTCTAGATTATCTGCAGTTTTGGGCCCTCTTCAGATTGCTTCAAGTGATGTTTACACAGAGCTAAAAAATCTTGTCAAAACTTTCCGGTGAGTATTGGTCTTTACTTAGAGATTTTTATAAATTGATGAATTAAACGTACTGTTGAATGATTTGTGATTTGGGCACAGAGAGGGCCCTGTTGCAGATTTGCACTTCTTTTGCTTTGTGTTCATGTAGGTAATGCTGTGTTCCCTGTGGACTAACAAGTCAGCCCTTTCCCTGCTCCTGACAGTGACTAGGTCACCAGGAGTATTTGTAGGTTTTTAAAATCTAGGCCAGTAGTCTCTGGAGGATGTTGGTGCGTCTTTTAAAGGTTCTGCTACCTCGTCACCTCCTATTAAGCGTGAGTTTCTGAGATCTGTCCCTTTCTTTAGCTCTAGCAAAAGCTGCTCCCTGCAGCTGGGCTAAATGATTTTAATCTGATTAATAATTTTTACCACTAACTTCTAGAGTCAGTCAGTTGGATCTGTCTTGTTCCTAATTTCAAAGGGAAGTAGATCTAGTGAGCACTTTCATCACCACAGGTGAAGTTTCCGCTTCAGTCAGTAGGACTAAAGACGGTATTTGGAAAGAGTGAGATAAAGAAGGAGGGAAAACAGAATGGTAACTTCTCTGAACATTTTTAGGTTTTCTTTGGGAGACAACTCTCATAACCTGGACCTAGATTGTGTCCTGCATCCTCAAATATTGTCAGAAAAAGAGCAGTAGCAGTTGCTAACATTGTCACTCTTGAAATGTCCCCACATCCTCAACCTGCATGAGGTTTATATGTAAATTTTCCAAAACTCATTCATGGAGCATTTGCCACAAGGAATCTGGGATTTGGTGAATAGAAACCCAGCTGTACCCAATTTCTTATGATTTACACCAGGTCTGGAAGGATGCCACCAAAACACAGATATCTCTGTGCAAGATTTCTTACTGTGGAAGATTCTCTCTTCCTTTCTGGTAACTCTGTGAATGATCTCTTTTAAATAAATATATTTATACTATTTGAATTTGTTTCTGTGACTGCAGTCTTTTAAGTTCTGACTCACCTTTTATTTTAACAACACCACTGAAACCAGTGAAAATGTTTTTGCATAAAGTGTATAGATACCTATTGTTTGAGTAAGATCTTTGTGTCTTAAAACAGTTTCATTGCTCTGCAGTCTAAATGCTTAATAGTCGCTTTAGCTTATGGATTGATAAATCTGGAGAAACTACATTTGGTGTCTTTCAAACTATTTTTTTATGATAGATTATCTAAGATTATCTAAGAAGGCCGGGAAATTCTCAAAAACAGAGCTTCTATTTTAAATTATTTTTGCTAGTTAGAGAAAATGGGGCAGGAATATAAAGCTTTCAGTGGTTTATAGCAAATGAGACTTGAAACCAAAATAGACTTCTAAAACAGATACATGTATATATATATCTATACACACTCGTGGGTTTATAGAATAGAACCAAATCAAATTTATTTGGACTTTAACCCAATATCTGGTTCATGCAGCATTAATTCATCATAATTTAAAGGTCTCCCTTAAAGATCTCCCCTAATCTGTTGTCATGGTTTGACACTGGCACAATGCCAGTGCCCCCCATGAAAATGCAATTTCTCAACTGAATGCTGTGAAATGCGATCGAGAACAGAGCAAAGCAGGCCCAAGCTTAATAATAAGGAAAAAAAACTTTATTAAACTACTACCACTATGCTACTATAAAGGGGCGGGGGGGGGGGGGGGAAGAAGAAAGAAACACACACAATTCAAAATGAAAACCTTCCAAAGCATTCCTCCTCCCACCACCCAACTCCAACAAACCACAGTGAGAGACAATCTGGACCCCAATCAGGTTTCCACCCTCCAGATAATCAACACCCAGTCCATCTGCAGGGAGAGAGGAGTCTCTCTCGTGCCACAGACCCCCCAAGAAACACAGCTGCCACACCCTGTGCTTCCATGTCACCACATGGCACCGCCCGGAGAAAAAGTTTGCCAGTGGTGACCCTCTCCTTTCCATGCACGGTGCTCTCACCACCAATGAGACAGACTGCTTTTAGGATTTTTTTCCTTTCAAGGATGCCCTGCCAAGAGGGGAAAAAAACAACAGTTCAGTTTTTCATTTTTGGGACCAACAGTCCCCCCCATTTTCCCCTGGGGCCGAGGATCCACGAACAGAGCTCTTCTTCTCTTCTTCCTCTCTGAAGACAGGGGGCACCACCACAAACCTCCTTAACTTTTCACTGTTCGCTCCACTTCTGTCTTTTCCCAGCTGAAGCAGGTCTCTTGGCTCACCAGCATCCTCCTAAAATACAGTCTCTCTTGGAGGAGAAGATCAGTTCAATCTGTGGCTACCAAGAAAAAGTCCAGCCAAACAGCCACTCCATCATCTCCTCCCACCTAGAATTTCTCCTTCCAACATCCCAGGTCCCAGGCTGTCTCTCTTCCTCTCTTTTCAAACCAAGGAGGAGAAAAATTTCACAAAGCTTTCATTTCTCAGGAAGGGTTAAAAGTCCCGACTCCCAGAGATGGCTCGCTGCCCAGGCTCCAGCTCCCACAGCCCGGCTGGGCACCTTGCGCCCCTCCCGCTCTTCTCCTTCCCCGCGGTGAACTGCTGGCAAAACCACCGCTGTCTCTTTTTTCTCTCTTGGGAGAGAGAGAGAGACTCTGGGGGGAATGGAGACATCCCAGATTTTGTCCACCCTTCCATCTGCAGGGGGCCAACCCGGGTTCTGGTCCCTCCACCCTTGGGCCTACCTCCGAAGGCCACATGGCTTCTCCCCTCCCCCACCCAGCTCGTCGCTGGGCAGGGGAGAGTCCTGCACTGACCGCTGACCGGAACCCAAGAGAGCGAGTTCTCCTGGGAATTCTGCTTTTAACCCCTCTGTGTTCTCAGAGGCGTGTCTACCTTCAATTGGTCAATGTCCAAATTGACTTCTTCCTTCCGGAAAAATTCTTTTTCCGTGTCAAACCACGACATCTGTTTTGATCTCTTAGATAACAGTAAGTTTTATTTTTGTGTTGTTTTTGTTAGGAATTAAGTTGAAGGTAGTGGTAGCAACTTCTTGGGGTTCTCTTACTGTGAAGATCGGCTTAGAAATTTAGGATTCTGGTTGGGGGATGGTTGAAGACATTTGTGGGCGCTGTACAAGAAAATTAAAAGCCTTAATATATATATCTCAAAACAACTGGAGTTTTGTTGTCACTGATAGCAAAATAATACAAAAATACAGGAAGTGGGGAAGAATAAAAACCCTTTGGGCTCTTTTTCTGTCTTGCATTACTGTATCATCAGTAATATGTGGAAGGGTCTGTTATAGCTAGCTCGTGGATATTAAGATGAAGGCATAGACTTGAATCTCCAGTTTGGTATGTAGGTTTAAGTTTATTTAATATTAGTAGTCTCTTAAGTTTTGGATTGAATGCTTTGGCAGGAAGACTTGGATAAATTTTAAATGGTGTTTGTATTTACAGGGTATAGAAATTCAAGTGTTACTTTCTTTGTTAATGTGGTTCAAATGCTTAATGGAGGAGCATTGATAAATGCTCGTGCTCTTTCCTGGTTTTTGTACTGAAGATATTTCAGGCTGAAGAGCTTGCCATAAAGAGCAGTAGATAAAACACATGGCTGTAGTAGAGCTTAGCTGAAGAAGGGTAAAAGAGCATGTGGTGAACTAAGCAACAACAATTTTCAGCTCCATTGGTTTTTAAAGGAACACTTGCAGTTCAACCTCCTTTGGGCAGCATTTATTCAATCACCACTGCTAAGAAACACACTAGAGAGATCTCAAGAGACATTTTAGAATGGTTAGAGCTCTTCCCAAACAAAGTCCCTCAGTGCCTGTAAGCTTTTGTTACGAAAACTGAGATGTCAAATAATTCTCCAGAGTGTGTAAGGCCACTTCGTTAAGTGATCAAGAGAAAATTAGCTTCTTATATATAAATTGAGGATAAATCATTTTGAATGTGTGGTTAGGTTCTTTTAAGGCATAATACTTCATTTTGAAAATAAGATTCCATCTGTATTTTATGGTTGCGTGTATTTTAATTCCCACTATGGAGCTTATTATTGACATTGAACCCTACCAGTGAATCAGATGTGAGATGTGTTCAAGACTTCTTGTTACAATTTGATTTTATCATGTGTCCAAGACAGTCTTTTGGATTTTAAGTATGTATCATGAATATATGTTGTCTGGTATATACACTTATTTATACCTATTTTACATATTACCCTTGTTAAGTGGAATTTTAAGTTCTGGGTTTCAAGTCAATCCGTAGTACTTGGTCATAGACAAAGTTCTGTGTAGAAATAGGGGAGTATCAAGAAGTTAATGATGTCTTCTCAAGTAATTAGGCTTCTCTCAAAAGAAGCCTAAAGTTAAATAGTAACTTTTTTTGCTGGTTGTCATCAAACTAAATGATATTACAGTATGTAAATATGTTGCTGTTTTCCAAGAGGTAGAAAAGCTGTCTCTTATGGTTAAATTGGTCTAGTTGAAACCTAAAATAAAAAAAAAAAAACAATATATGTTTCAGTATTTGCCTGTGCTGCCCCGGATTAGTTAAATTTCACTCATCTTAGTGCAAGTTTTGGAAAAAATACTGGTAGCTGAGATCCCCCAAAGTCACAACTTCACATCCTAATGCCATGAAGTCAGTTTGCAGATTTACAGAATGGACAGGTCCTTGAACTGCAGTTATATATGCCCAAACCTGGGATTCTGGATGTAGGAAGGAGACACTGCTGCATTTGCAAAGATGCTGGGTTTACTGTTTTTATTTACTCTGGATTCCTACAACTTCCCTATTGGAGTACCCTTGCTTTGCAGCCTGGGCACTAGTCAGTTATCAGGAGGTCATCAGAGATGGAATTTTTATGCATCTTTAGTCCTTTATCCTGGAAGCTTCTGCCACTTGGATCTGTGTGCTCAGTCGGGCTCCCTCACAGTGCGAAAACCTCGTGGGTCCTGCTGGGTGGCTGCAGCGTGTCTTGCTAGAGGGAACCACAAGGCCTTCAGACCAGCAACTAAGCAACCTACACAGCTATTTGAGATCCTCCAACTTTTCCTAGCTTGCATATCCTGCCCTGCACAGGCCAAGAAAGTGGGCACATTCCATTTTGGGAAGTTGCATATTGTTTTCTTTCTCTAGGTAGGTGAGGGAGAATTTGGCCAAACTCTTTAACAGAAAAGATTTCACTGCGGAACTAAAATCACACACACAAAGTTTTGTACAGCTTTAACATTTCCACATTATATTTTTAGGACAGAAATCTAGTGACCTCTTTCATGGATTGTTCTGAAGTAACAGTTTGGGCTAGAAGCAAGACAAAGAATTAATGAACCATTTTTACAGCGGCCCTGCAGTTCCCTGTTTTCAGAAAACTTCGCTCTTCAGAGGCCTTGGTGTTGACACAGAGCTTGTTTGAAAGTGACTGCCCTTCCACTGCTCCTTATTATTTAAGGCTTCACACCTGTAGGTTGCTTGCTTTACTCTGATCTCTCTGAACTGGCTTTTTCCCAGCTGCACAAGTGTTTTAGGACAGGTGTTGTACTGGGAGGTTACTCAGTTGCAGAAGCCTGACTGTTCATTCAGTGCAGTGACTGTAGTACATCAGCAGATTCACACGGCTGTGTCCTGCTGGTTATCTGTGTCTTCTGACTACCTCCTTCAGAAATAGCATATTGATGGCAATGACTAGTGTTCAGACCTTGCCAATCAATACTAACATTGAGTAGGAGTTAATTGACACAAATAACTGCATCTCTCAGTTTATGTACAAGAATGACACCTTCCTTTGCTCTAATCAATAATAACTCCTTGTAAAGCATTGAAATAAAGCTGCTTTCTCTATTTGACAGAGTTTCCCCAGGTGGCTTGGAGCTGTCTCTTTCATTATGTCTCATCATAACAGATTAACTGGAATGTTACATATGAATTGCCTGTCAAGATGATTCCATCAGGCATTTCTTGGTAGTGTTTATCACTGTCATCAGTGTTGAGTCAAGATGTTCAGCCTTTGTTTTGTCTCTTATTCCATAGCCAGAAAAATATACAGTTTACCATGTACAAACTTTGTTACCAGCTAAATCCATTAGGTATTTCAAATAATAATTACTAAAATGAACCTTTCAATAACAAATATAATCAGTCGTTGCCACAACTCTTGGTTCTGGTTTGATCTGACAATTCCTTTGCATGTAGTGCAAAACATTGTTTTTCCTTTCATAATTGAACAAAATTCAGATTGTTGGAACACTACTTGAGTAATTATTGCTTCAGTATCTTATTCTGGTTTAAAAACTTGAAGATTTGAGAAGAAAAATGGGATAATATTGCTTTGTTCATTACAAATTTATTTTATTAATTTTTAATATCTTTCTGAAATAGAGAAATGCAGACAAATACTATAAATGATCTTACTGATAACTATATTTTAATGACCATTTTGACAATAATTTTAGGGATACTTATTAGAATTTGAATTTTAACAATGACAACTACAAATAGTTCTGCTTTCTCAAATTTTACCCTTTTTTGGTTTTTTGGGTAACTATATACTTGCCCAAAAGTATATACAGGAAATGGTGAACTACTTTTGGGTAACTATATACTTGCCCAAAGTAATTTTTTTTAAAGTAATCTTACTGAGGAAGAAAACCCTGGATTTGAATTTGTTGCCAGAGAGGAGCTTGCTGGAACTATCCTCACCAGTGCCTGTAGGAATGGGTATGAGTGACAGGGTGGGTATCTTCATTCTGGATCTGAATTTGTACAAGGTCATGGAAGGGAAACTGAAAGCAAGAAGGAAGCAAACATAGGGAGGCACTTGCCCCTCAGTTTATCTGTTGGATGGTGCCATGTTTCTGAATACAGTTAATTCTGCTGGCTCTTTTGAGTGCCTGCATAGCCACAGCTTCATTTTTGACTGTGACTTTTCCATGAAATTGCTTGTTTTGACCAAGGGTCATGCCTAAATTGAGACAGCAATTCACAGATGAATTGTTGTGACACAGATTAGTACTTGACTTAAAGCAGATCTATTTTTTTAGGCAGTTCAGCAAAAGGAGTCAGCTGGTATCCAATGTAGCAGCAATTTAGTTGGACACCCATGTGGTTCTTTATTCACACTTCATTTATATTTATATGTCTCTTATATTTGCTCTGGCTCCCATTGCATAAGTTAGAATTCTGGATTTCCATTTTAAAAACAAGAATCATCAGAGAATTGTCACTGCCACCTTATAAAATTCAGTCTGTGTCCACATCAGTTTTACAGGAACTCTGGATCTGAAGCCAGCAGGAGGGAAACTAAGTGTAACAATGTCCATCTTTTCACAAACTCATGTGCAGTTCTGGAGAATTTGGGGTTTGAGTGAAAGCTGGCCCTCACAGCAGCCAGGACTATTTAAGAGAAATAGCCTCTGTTCAGTCTTCCCATCCCACTTTCATATAAAATAAAAGAGGACATTTGAAATTCTGCAGTTCCTCCTTTAGAGGATGACAGAAGCTTGAGAGCGGGTGAATTGCCCAGATGTAATTGCTTCTTTATAACTCAGTGTATTAATGGTAGACTTAAAATTCAGCTGTTAAAATCTGCTTGCTTTTACTTTTAAATGTACTGACGTTTTTAAAATTATTTTTCAGGTTAACAAACAGAAATATTATTCACAAAATGCCTGAATGGACTCTCATTGCTATTGTTCTGTTATCTGTGTAAGTACCCTTTAATGTCAAATATTCTTATGTGCAACTGTCTTATTAGCGTGTTGGAACAAGATGTAATTTTCAGGTAAAAGAAAAGAAAGACTTAATGGAACTAACTGGAATCAACAGAAATATTTCTTTCATGCAAATGAACAAAATTTTCTTGACAAAACAGAATTGTCCTCCTTGCATCAAATGTTATCAATGGACAAATTTATGTTAAAAAAAAAAGTAAATCTGGGCTTTAGGGGGTTTTAAAGAGGCCTTGCCAGATGAAGTGGGAGTATAATTCACCTTCTTCCATTTGCTTCTGACATACATTCTTTCCCTCTCTGACACTGGGACAAAATTACATGTATATTGTATTATTTGGATTTTGCATAACTGTTAGGCTTTTAATTTTTCATTTTGCTTCTAATTTCTTAAAAGTTTTTACTTTTATGATTAAACTCAAATTATTTCTCTAAAGAGACATGCTTCTAAATAGGTATAAGTATTCTAGCAAACTTCCTTTAGAGGGGAAATCTCTTTTAGCAGAATTCCTCCCAAGCCCAGTATTTTATTTTTATGAGGTTAAGTACTTTGTTGGTTAAGTACTACAGTGCCTACAGTCCTCCTTAGCTTTGTTTGACTTACTGTAGAATTAAATTCTTTACAATGATTTCCCTGATGGGAAGCCTGGTTGTATTACAGTGTCTTTCAGTAAGCTTCTACACAGAAGCATGAGCTATAAAAGCTGTATTCATATGCATCAAGTGAGTTCTTTAATTAGTATTTTGCAAATTCATGTACATTTCTGAAGTTTAAGATACAAACTTTGCAGTCTGTGTTAAGCAGACAAATTTGTATTAAAAGGTGAACTAACGTTAAATGTTTAAGAAATCCCTGGTGGTTTCACAGTGTCAGGCTCTGCCTTCCATTAGGGTTAAACCATCAACCAGCCTTTGTATGTCTTGAACTTGAATTATGAGATTGCAAAAATCTTTATTTCCGAGTCTGTTCATGACTGTGCTGCTGCTGCTTCTTTTGGGCTTCCTGGGTCACTGGAGCCTGTAGGACAGAGAAGTACTTAGAGACATTCACAGGTCAGGAAGTATTGTGGGCCAGCCTCACGGCATGCCCAGCACTGCACTTAGTTTCCTTGATATTACTTCAGTCTGACACATTGTTCTGGCTCTGCTGTCCCAAGGAAGATGGTACCAGCAGGCATTAGAGCAGGCTTCAGCGAGCCTTACATCTGTGTCACCCAGCCAGATACCGCTCAAATGATTCATTAAATCAGAACACAGAAAGTAACTTTACTTGAATGCCTTGGCATAAATTTTTTATCAACTATAAGAACAAATCTTTTGTCATTTTTACTATATATTCTTATGGTTGAATTGGTAATTTGTGAAACAGATCTTATGAATTTTTCAAGTAGTTTCTGTACAGCTAAGGAAATGGTGTCTCTTTTTGATCAGAAGTTAAAATATGTCGCTGTCTCTGCATATGATGAGCTGTAAATGTTTACATAAGTAATGATTGTTTTACAGCTGCTTTAAAATGTTATACAAGTAGTAGGCAGTCCTGGTGGTAGTCAGTATAAGGAGAGAAGCACGTCTCTTTTTACCTTTGCTTACTAAAAGTCCATCCCTAGAGAAATTAATTACATTTGATCATTAAAAAGACTAGATTTTATTTATAATATTAGTGAAATCAAATAAAACTGCTGCTGATTTCTGCTTATTGTAAGGTTCTGGCAAGCTCATGATCTTGAGATTTTTAACAACTTCTCTCAGCTGCCTCTTAGGAGAGCATGTGGAAGAATGCAGGTGGGATAGAATGTTAAGATTCCTCTAATAAGATTATGCATGTTACATTATTTCCAGAAATATTAAAGTAGAACTTTAATTATTTGGAAATTCTTGAGTATTTGGAAAAGCTTGAGTATTTAGTCCTGCCAGGATTGTGCAGGGAAAGGGTACTGAGGATGAGGACAGCCCCTCACAGCTCCTCACTCAGGCCCTTTCTCACCACCTGCAGTCTGCCAAGGAACCTGTCATGTATTGGTAATTATTCCCATTAAAAGAATTACACCCTATTAAAGTCTTCTCTCTTAGTTTTACTGAGACATTATGCACATTGTAGCACATCTACTGTTATTTAGATCATAGAGTTGTGTGGGACCTGAGTCAGAGGAAGTCTTTAGTAGCTTCAGCCACACTTTTCACATTTATTCACAGGTCTTGACCTGGCTTCAGGCATAGGTATGACATATAAATCACATTTCTGTTGATTCCATTTTACTGCTAACACTAATCAGTAAAGCTGCATAAGCAGCATCCTGGTAGTGGGTAATGCTTGCTCTTTCCAGGTATGTGCCACACCACACTACAGGTATCCCAGGGTGCAGGGATTGCAAGAGGGCAGAGTGAGCATGGGTTTCAAGGTATACCTCAAAAAAAAATCTAAGATTTCAAGTATTTTTTGTTTTGTATGAAAGAGGGCAAGGTTGTTTTGTTTCAAGTAGCAACTGTTGGACTTTGCTTGCACCCTATTTTGTGCATCAATGTTGTGGCTCACCACTTCCTTCTCAAACATATATGGCTAGTGTGTGCTGAGGACTTGGTGTACTTAACTTCACAGTGCACTTTCAGAGTGCCCCAACCCTTTCTGTGTAAGGTGCTGGACAGAATAACTGTTAGCATTATGGCTGTATTGGATTCCAGTGTATTATGATATGATTGTGCTATCCTCTGAGTGTGTTTACTAACTCTTTGTAGGATACACTGTGATGGATATCATTAATGCCTGATTTTGGTGCTTAAATTAGACCCTAGGTGCACTTCACAGTCTGCAGATCCTATAAAAGCTGATGAAAGTACTTATGTGCCCTTGGGTCTACTGACTACAACAGAAAGAAAACTGGGCTTCTTATTCATTGAAATAAAGGGCCTGGAACTGGACAGTGTGACATGTCTCAAAGTATAAAAAGTCGGCAATTTCAATAGTGGAGTATTTCATATGCCTAGTGAACAGTTGTTTATATTCAATCAAGTTATTGTATAAAATATGAACACAGCCAGTGTCTGCCTTTATTGAAAATCTAGCCTGAGGCACTCCTATGAATATAGCACATTCAGCAATGCTGAATCGACCTTGTTAGAGTACACTTCAACAGCCAGAGCTGTATGTTAAAACAGTGGTATTCATGCCTGTTGCGGAGTGGATGACTCTTAAAAATTACCTTTATATCAAATTTCTTATTTGTAATTTGTAGTAATTTTGGCATTGGTTGATTTTGGCTTCTTCCTGTTACATTGTTTAGTATGTTAAATAGAATTTTTTGTTCTAGTAATAGCTGCTTTATAATGTATTGTAAACTAGAATGCAGAAGGTGCATCTTTTCCTGCCAAAGAACTTTGCAAGATACCAAATGAAGCAGATAAATAGATATAAATACAGTAGTTCCAAGAATGGAGAAAGCAGTGGGAGGATTGGTTGCTATACAAGCATGGGCACTTTCTGTTTTTAGTGTATACCCCTGGCACAGACTAATGGAAAGCTTTCAAGATATTTTCAGGAAATGTCTGCTTTCATCTTACTTATCAGAGCTGGCTGGTTCCAGTGAACTGTGGTCAGCTTCATCTGCAAAGCCTATGCAAGAGGTTCCCCCACTAAAAGCTTTGAAGCATTTCAAAATGTTCTGGGATTAGTTTATAAGCATTTGGCTGCAGTATTTATACAAACTCAGAATGACCATGATCACTAAACAAAAGCCATCATTATATGTGTGCAGCCACTTTAGATAAATGTGTCATGTGGAGATGTACTCTAGAGGTTTACTCTCTTGGAGATAACAGTTCAGGAACTGGAGAATCTTGGGTTCAAGTATGTGTTTTTACTCCTCTGCACATGAGAGCACATCTATTGCTCAGCACTGACATTTCTAAATCATTTTAAGAGGAATTTAGATGTTTCTGATATCCCTACAGTGTTCTTATCTAAAAATATGTGAATGTTTGAAATGTATGAATCTAATGTACAAATACATATAGGATATGAATCAGACTTGCAGAGTGACTCTTTTTCCTACAGAAACCACATACAAGTCAGCTGGATGATATTTTATTTGGCGTGTCTGGTGATGGAAGTTTGGTTCCAGGTTTCAGCTGAGAAAAATCATTCCTCATTAACCTAGAAATACAATTGTTTTCCATTTTGAAACAGAGCTGAGTTTGCAGGACCAAGAATCCAAAGAGTCTTTCTCTTTGTGGTTATAGTGTTGTGTTTATCTGTAGAGTTATATTATTGTGTGAAATAGAGAAAAGGCAACTTTGTCTTAATGCATTAAAAATATCTTCTTCCCTTTTTCTCTTAATTTTAGGCTGTCATTTGGTGGGCATGAATTCAAATATATTTTCTGTTAATCAGTTTTTAAGTCTTTTGAGCTTGATTACTTATCAACAATTTCTAAGCAAACTTGAAGCTGCTTATTTAGCATATTGTGGACATGATCAGTATAATCTTATTTCTTTCTGGCATGTTCCAGTATTATTTAGGAATCATATACAGAACAGTACCATGAGGGATTTCAGTGTTGTTAATTGGGATATTAGTCAGTGCCAACTTCAAAATTAATTAAATATTAAATATCTTCCTCTTTCATAAGGGAGAAAATAGAAGAAACCTTAACAGTTGCCAATCAGGTGTTTATCCTGGAACACAAAAACCCCCACTGTTGCTGCAGTGATGTTTTGCAGGAAGTGACACTGTGAATTTCATTGCAGCCCATGCAGCTGCAGTCTTTTCCATGCTGGTATTCTCATGGGTAACCTTCTAAATGGGGCATTTGGAAGTGCTGTGTAACTTTCATGTATGCCCAGCACAAACTCTCTGAGTCCAGGATAATTAGTTCCTCTTTACAGTGCTGGAGCTTGGCTTCATCAGCAGGAGTGGAGCCTTAGCACACGCTGTGCCCTGGACTGCTGCTGCAGTTGGGGGTTAGGAGGGTTGGCTCAGAAAGC